TGCTTACGCCGAGAACCGCTGTGAAAACCCTCCGAAATCACCAACCCACAAAAGTGGTTTATCATCTCCAGGTATCTACATGCAGGCACACTTCAGGTTGATAATGAGGCAGGAAGAATGTCAGACCTGTAAAAAGCAAACCACAACCCGTGACGTGCTGGAGGGGCAGAACCAAACGGAGGCAGCGGGGCCGCCTGAAGATCCCAATCCTGGCTGCCGTCAGGAACGACAGATGGTGTTTGTCAAGAGGATAGAGATTTACCTTCTTATTTTACCATGGAAATACAGCAGCAAGAGCACTACCAACACTCGCTGTTTCATCTAACTGATTTAAGGAATACACCCCACATTAAAAAGAAAAACAAACCAACAGAATTCCTGCAGGAAAACGGGCCGCCAGATGCCACTGGAAATCCCAATTAAAAGAAGCAGTTCTGCATGTCAAGAGACAACGTCAGCCATTGCATGTGATTTATTTTCTCATTAAGGAAATGCACTGAGCATATACAGAGATTACATTCAATACAGATTTATCATTACAGAACAATCAGAAAATAAAGATACAATCAATACCTATTTGCCATAGCAGAACAGATTGAAGGGACTGCTTCAAGCTGAGAATGAAATGAAAAATACTTACACCAATTTAAGTGATTTTTAACAGATGAGACACTGAAGTCCAAATTAACATTCTCAGCCAAGATCTGCTGCATTGTTACCATCTTTATATTCATAGCTTTATCAGACTCGTGCCTAGAGACTAAGAATAGACCAGAACTGCCTTGTCTGAGCCCATTTGAACAAACCCCAGGAGAGTAGTGCCAGGCTGACACCGCTATCTACACGAGACGATGAAAAGATCCACACAGAGAAAAGAGGACAATAAAACAAAGAGACAGTTTGGTCCATGTGGCAGGCAACAGCTACGAGGCAGGTGAGGATTATGCTCTACATGGAGGTTTCACTGATTTCACTTGAAGAAGCTCCCTAGAGTTTGCAAACTTAATAAAACTTTGGTGAATGTGCAGAATTCTATGACACGCTGCTGGAAACTGATTTTCCAAAGAATTATACTGAAAAAAGTCATGACACAAAGCTAGTGGGAAAACTACCTTGTCATGTGTTTTGTGAGTTCCTTAAATTGATGACCAAACATTTGTCCAAATAGGCAACTAAAACTAGAACTGCCAAGACCACCTCTACTTCAGCTACACCAGCTGGACTTTAAGCTGGTTCTATGCATGTTGTGTGCCAGACATTAGACCAGATCATCACAGCTGGATATTAAAATCTACAAATATCACTCCTCTGGTTGCCTGTTGCTCTGAGTTTTGAATCAAAGGAGGTACCACCCTGCTCTCCAACATCACAGACCCAAGACACTGCTTAGGGCTATCACGCCACACCTTATGTCACTTCCCACCTTTCCTAGTTTCAGCATAACCAAAGGACCACATCTGTCTACTAACCAGTGATGCACAATGCCCTCTACTATGTGGCCCATTCTGGATCATTTACTTGGCAAGACTGCAATGAATGGGATTATTAAAAATATTAATTTCGTTCGTTACACCTCTAAAGATCTCCAAGTAATTTCATTCACTTTACAAAATGAAAAGGATACATAAACCACCTCAGATCAACTCAGTCACGTCATTGGAGGGGGGAACATATACTCTTACTGTCAAAGAATGACTTTCAGGGCAGCGAAGAATTATCTACACAGTGGACATGGCAAGAATTTGGATCAACAGCATTATTACTTAAGCCTTCAAGACAGGGATTAAGCACTTATTCTCAAAACCAGCAGAGGAGATAGATTGAGCTGATCTTTGGAGGGAGCTTACCAGTTCAAAACAACTCCCAAGCTCTTCTCTTTTCTTCTTTTTCCAATGCCGTAGTAAGATTCTCAAAGGATCAGAAAAGAGAAGACTGGAAGGTGGGGTTTCTTCCACCACAGAATCACAAAATGGTTTGAGTTTGAAGGGACCTTAAAGATCATCGCCTTCCAACTCCTCTGCCACGGGCAGGGACACCTTCCACTATCCCAGGGTGCTCCAAGCCCTGTCCAGCCTGGCCTTGAACACTTCCAGGAATATAATATATAATACATAATATAACGTACCTCTATGAGTTGTTCTCTTAATGACCTTCTCTTACCAGTTTGTATTAATACTAAATTGTCTTTACTTCAAGTTTTCTGGCTTTGTCCAGTGTGCCAGTGTTCTCTGAAAGACTAACTTGCTTACTAGAATTTTCAGTCACTTTGTGCTTGAAAATTTTAGCTTGCTTTTGAGTGTCTGCCTACAGTAAACAGCATCTGGAAGATATTGGTCCTTTACCTCACTACAGAGCTACTTGCAGCAAAGATTTCTCCTTATCTAAATTGTAGGGCAATGTTACGTATTTGCACAATCAACCCCTTAGGATTAAAAAAGAACAGAGCAGCATTTCTTACATACAGGTCAAGACAAACTGAGCAGATGAAACAATTTTTATCTAAACATCTGTCACGTCTGCCTGATGCTTTTTGCCTACTGAGATACGTGGTACCTGGTGTGTGTCTAATAAATGATTAAGAAATATTATCATCCCTTGCTAAGAAGGCAGACTTGTTGCTTCAGGATACTCTTTTTTCTTTTTAATCCCCCTCATGTCAGCTTCAACAACGGGTGCCACAGCAATGTAAAGATGAGGAGGAGGAGGTAGCCATTGGAGATGGTGACTCTTGAAGCCAGGCTCTTATTGCAGTTGTTGGAGTAGCAGCAGAAGACGCTCACTCCGGGCGCTCTGAATCCGTCCCTCCTCGCCTTCTCACAGAAGGATCTGTACGAGCAGGACTTCATAACTCCACCTGGAACAGAGCCACACTGAACCCAAACACACCTGTAAATGGTCACCCCTCCCACCTGCATCCCCTCAGCACGAGCCTGACCACCAAATGCTGAGCAACAACACCAGGTTTGGCTGCCCCTTACAAGTAATGAACACAACTGCATCAGATGGCAGAACACTGACAAGCTCCCACTTAAGTAATTGTCATTTATCTCAGATGCAACTGATGCAGCCTTAATATCTCTGGATGGGCACAAGTGCAGTGCCTCCTTAGATTACTTTCCTAATTTCCAGGGAAGTCACTTAGTGGGCAATACTTAAATGCTTTTTTACAGCTTTCACACAGAGTGGGTACAGCTCAGCGTGGCACTGCCAAATCACTCTCAGTGGGATTTTGTATCAGACTGCTGATACAATAAAACTGAGATCTATCAATAGGGTTTATTTTGAGAGGAAACATTTCCTTTTGGTTTTCTCCTTAACTTACTCTACAGTCTTCTCTTTCCAACACTGATTATTTATTTCTACTATGAAAAATTTAGTGAGGCTGAACCATTTGTGGTTACTTACTTGCTTGTCCTTTAATGACTGCACAGGCATCTGCATGCCCTGGACACTGCTGACTTCCTTGTCTGTTACAGTCCTCATCACTAGAACCTACACAGGTGTAGCACTGCAGTGCTTCAGCTGGTGTTAAGAGAAAAAAAGACCACTTAGAGCAGTAGTGTTAAGAGTTTACAAAAAGTATTTAAAAATATCAGCTGCGCAGTCTTTCTAATTCTGTTTGAAGCACGTACAAAAAAACGGTAGAAAGCTTTAGAAAATCCAAAGACTCTGCATATCTCATCAGTGTTTCTTTTTTAGAAGTGGTACAGATACTGATTTTAAAGATTAAAAAATTCAGTCGTATTATTTAGTTGTTACAATTTGTGCTCAAAATAATCCAAGAACATCTGATGTTCTGTAACTTCATCCACACCTTCTTGTAACATTTTCAGAGTGGAGCTCTCCTTAACAAGGTGGAGAATCATGTTTCACCCCCCCCATCACGATCCTTGGTTCACAGTACCATGAAAAAACACATTAAAAACATATAAAATCTTACTATGATCCAGATTTCATTTTCTCCTTAAGTATTAATTCTGCACAAAATTACCTCTTGAGTTTTGCTTTAAACATTACAACTGTAACCCAAACCTCTTTCTTGTTCTTAGTTCAAACTATATGGTACTGTCAAAAGTAGGCATGAATTTGCAAATATTTAAAACACCTTACTTGAACCTTGCAGAGCATGTTGCTGTTCATGGGGACACGTGCATTTGAATTTGTCAGCACACGTATTTATCTTTACAGAGGTGGAATTCTGTGCTAACCACACACACAAGATAACCTGAAACCAACCCAACCCAGGAGAGGAGCCCAGAACAGCAAAGAGGCTCAGCCACGCCTGAGGTAGGAAATGAAAACAAAACAAAAGAAAAAAGAAAAGGAGGTTGACTTACTTTTGAGGACAAAAAGGGAGCTGACAAGAACCAGGCTGAAGACTGTCCACATCATGGAGATCCAAGAGATGCACCATTAGCCAAAGAAAGCAGTTTGTTTGCTATTACAGCTTTAATGCTTCTCTTACATAGCTAATCCTCTGCAGAGGATAACTTACAGGATAAAGAGGTGTGCGAGAATGCTACTTATCGAGCTTATTCTGGTTGCACTTCTAATCACACGTACCTCATCTCCACAAACCCTGCAGGCAAATTCTTCCAGGAGCAGGAAGACGAAAATGTGTTCACTTTTCAGTGCTGGAACATGCTTAAAAACCATCCCATCACCGTATGCCACAGCCTCCAAGTCCTTCAGCAGCCTCATTACGTTTGCCCATGGGATTTGCTGGATCAGGGTCAGAGCATTAAATATTTTGGAGGATTAAGACTATGCTTGAGACTTGAGTGGTTCCAATCCAACATATATATATATATATACATATTTAGAGAGATATAGACCTAGATATGTGCACATAAGTAGTATATTCTTGTGACCCACAAAGTGTTCCAAGCAGCGACCCATGAAGTGCTTTCTGTGAAGGAATTAATTCGTAAGAGCTGCTGTATCTGGTGCTGAGCATGAAATAAGGCAAGTGAAGGACACAAAACAGAGCCATACTTATCTTCAACTTCCAACGAAAAAATTTATTTACAATAGAGAATTTCATTTGTGACATGCATTTTCTTTTTTTTTTTTTTAATATTTTTAATTTTATTTTACAAATCGGCAAATGCAGATAAAGTTTACATTCCTTAAGGCAAGAGTCCCCATGCAAGTAATACATGTTTATATTAAATCCAAAAGACATCCAACATGGGAACTCATGTACAAAGGGAAGGCTAGGATCAGCAATTTGTAATTTCTTAGAGAACTTGACAATCTCCCTGATACAGGAACTTTGAGATCAACTTGCTATGGATTATACTATGAAAATGCAAACAATAGCAAGAAATTCTGATAGTCATCTTAGTACTGCATACAATTAAATCAACTTTATTTAGAAAGAAAATACAGTAGTGCATACGAAAAAGTGAAAATATAACCTGTCCACATAAATGTATGGACATCAGTGTGCCAATGGTCATATTGCACTCAGGATCGAAGTCCAGAAATTTGGTTAAAAGTTAGCTTTTCCCCATTTTGGCAATCAGTTCATCACAAATCTTTGTTAATTCTTCTATCTCTTTATTCTGGAAAATAAAACAGTAAGTATTATTAAAAATATTGCTGCACTAAGATGGGAGGTTTTTTTTAGCATTATCTAACCGTTGGGAGAAGTGTGGGAAAATTAGGCTTCCTCCACTCCTGAGAACAGAATTTCTATACATATAGATATAAATGCATATATAGTACAGCTACATGTTTGTATTCATGGTACAGCTATGTGAATTCAAACAAATGCTTACTTTTTTTTCCAGATACAGCTCCTCTGACTTCAATAAATCCAATTTAGCACCAAAGCAGACAGCTTTAAAACAGTCATTCCCAGCGCACCATAATGATACATAGTGTAAATTTGTTTCTAGGCTGCACTTTTCTGGTTTTTTTCATTATTTTCACCCTGTTTTGCAGGGCTCTGAGCAAGGACAAGCTGTACTATGCCAAAGCAAGCTCCCTTGGCTGAGCTAGGGAACACGAGATATAAATAGACATTTCCTACAGACACTTTGGAATTAGCATTGGAATCACAGCTAAAACTAAAAAGGGAAACGAAACCTGAAAGAAGAACTGAAGCAAGGTCTTAAACCCGAGAAGCAAAGCAAACCAAGGGCCTGGACTGCAGAGGTGCACCCTGAGCTGTGGCCGAGGCTGAGCCAGCCCCGAGCACTCGGGGGACTCAGGTCAAACCACCTGCCTCGAGTGCCTGGGGCATGGGGAGGATTTTGTCCCAAAATTTGGGCAGTGCTGCCCTCCCTGAAGCCAGGATACTGCTGGGCCAGCTGGAGCTGAGGAGCAGGGCAGACCTGTGGTCTGGTCTGTCCTCCAGGAGGAGGTGAATTGCTGTTTACCTTTTGTTCCAGTGTTCTCTCCAAGGCGTCCACTTTCAGCTGCTCTTTGCGAAGGCTGGCTTGATACGCTGCTTGCTCCTGCTGAGCTTTGCCTCTCACTTGTGCAATTTCAGCATTGGCTCTGCAAAAACAGAGGTTTTGGTCATGTCAGGTTCTCTACAGGAAAGGGCAGTGGGTGTCAAGGGATGGACTGCACCTTAACAGATGGGTGGAGAGGGCACATCTTTGGCAGTATTCTGAGACTTGTCTCTAGAGACTTCTCTCGACCTCCCCCCTCTTGCTCAGCAAAGGCTGAAAAGTCTTTTCCTAATGTCTGTATTGCTCCCTTCAGATATTTGTGCTGGGGTCACAAATATCACTTAGGCAGAGGTGTTTTATGGCAGTTTGTAAATCTGATCTCCAGTTCAGGGGACTGTACTGGGAGTTTCGAATGTAATTCCTAGAAATGCTTAATTGGTCATTACACGGAAATATAGGAAAAAAAGCTTTAAAAATCAACCAGAGTTGCCTCTCTTAAGCCACAGTCTGATGTTCACTCCTTGACATTGGCTTATCTGTGCACACCTGGTATGATCTTTTGTGTAACTACTGCTCATCATCCTCAGCACAATTGGGCTGATCCTGCTTAGCTAACCAGTGTCAGCAGGGAGAGAGCACCAGACTGCTTCTGCACTGAAAGAGCTGAGCAGCACTGACAGGTTCTGTTCTGCTGATTGATACAGGGATAATAAGACAGCACAGGGGCAGAGGCAAATCTCTGAGGGCAGGAATACAGGCTGCAGGTGCAAACATCTGAGCTGCAGCCCTCTCTGCACCTCCATAAATCTGGCTAATGGCTTCTTTCTTGATCTTCCGTGGAAAATTTGTTACAGAAACATGAAGACATTTGATAAAAATAGAAATCTAAGGTGTTTTGCACGGTCAGGAGCTGGAAGAAACACCAGCATGTTAGAGAAATTCTCATTATGGAATTTCATTCCACCATCACGGGGCAGCCTGCACTTTGCATATTGCAGGAGCAGGTCTGGGATGTGAGGTTCAACTCCTGGAAAAAGATATGTACAATCCATGCCCCATCCCTGAAAGTGTCCAAGGCCAGGCTGGATGGGATTTGGAGCAATCTGATCTAGTGGAAGGTCTCCCTGCCCATGGCAGGGGGTTGAGACACGATGGTCTCTAAGGTCCCTTTCTGTGATTCTATGAATCAATTACCTGTCCAGTTTTTCCTCAGCGTGAATTTTGAGAGCTTGATACCTCTGCTCTTCCTTCTTTACTCGTGATAAATATTCCTGTGCGCACTTCTTTAACACTTCTTCATTCTTAAAAGAGAAGATGACATTAAATTTAATCCAAGTGGTCAAAATGTAGGACAGGCACCTATTGGCAGGAGTCACAAACAGCTATTTTAAGGGCTGACACCCCCCCACAGAGGCCATCTGAAGCAATATCACACAATGCAAAAAGCTTTACAGTCCTGTTTGCATTTGATAACTGCCTGTAACCCTTCACTTGAGGACTATGTTATGTCATGCACTTTAGACCTTTAGACCTGATGCAGTGCATGTGAATTGGCTGGAAACACAAGATGTGCCTTCTGTTCAGCAGCACTGGTACACGAGAGCCTGCTCAGCTTTGCCCTTTACAGATGTTAACAAGACTCACCTTCCGAAACCCCTCCAATACTTCTTTCATTTTTTCATATCTCCTGAAAAGATCTGCCAGAGATTTCTCCACTGAGTTCAGATCTGCCAAAGCTTGTTCCTTCTCCACTATCAGCTGCTGAACGGTGTGGTGGGACACAGATTTCTCCCTCTGTTCATCCTCTGTTAGAAAGGAGAGAAGGGGAGGGAAAAAAGATTTTCAGAAGGGTAACAGTAGTAAGAACACTGATTTCACTGTCATCTACAGTTTCTACTATGCTGGGCTCTATGTTGTGTATCAGTAAGTTTGCACGATGCATAAAAGCCATTTTTATATAAAGACTCAATCCTGTTTTGGATAACAGTTGCTAAAAACAGTGATACTTCAATATTTTGATGTTGGGGGAAAATGTGAATGTATCTCTGTACTGCTGATTTACTTACTCTAAACTTGGCTGTTCCCACGAAAAGGCAGGTGTTGGATTTCCCCTACTTGTCTGAATATCTACTAACTACAGGAAAGGACAGTTATTTGCCATTGCTGACATATGCTTGTTGTCTCCTGGCATCTCTTTTATAAAAACAAGGTACTTTATTTAGTGGAATTAACTCCAGTTCTTCCCTTGGAAAAACAGTGTTTTGCCAACTCTCATTTTTAGGATTACTGTAGCATGTGGCAGAAAGGAAATCTAACACTAGACAGCCTTCCTAAGTTCTGGTCTGCAGAAAACATCTGCCAAGATCCTCCCATGTATACTTAAATTTGAGCCAGGGATGGTGGGCAGAACACAACAGGAATCCAAATCCATATAGAAAAGAACTTTTCAAGGGAATTGACCCCATAATAAGTTGGAATATCCATATAACACTGGAAGAACAGGTCTGGCATTGTCTTAGAAAATGCTGCATTGTTTCCTTCATATCCTAAAATATGATTCCTGTGTCTGTGTTTTAAGGGCTACTTTGAATGATACTGAAATGAAAACCAACCTGCAAAACAGAGCAATTTCATATTAATCCTTTTCCTTCGTCTATAACAGAAACTAAAATAAGGTAAGAAGTTCTCCCACATAAGAAGCATTTCAGAATGTACAACTTTTAATTTAGGCCTTTTTTGTAATATGAAGAACTAAACGAAAGTGTCTTTTTTTTTTTTTTTTAATTAAACCTTTATAGGGCTGGTCAGCTCCAAATGTCAGAGTTGATACTGTCAATTCCCAATCTGAGACTAATCTCTTCCTTTTGCATATTCAATTTTGCTCTGTGATGCAGAAGATCAAAGGAAACAGAGAAACTCTCAGGACCTGCTTGTAACACCTTTATTTTACTGGTGAACAAACACCTTTGATATGGCAGAACAGAGAAACCCAGAGCCCTGTAATGCCAGATCAGTTTGATATATTTAACATCTCATTAAGAATAAACATTTTCTATTTTCCCTTCCTAAAGACACCCTGCGTTCATCTGTAATGTCAAAATGAACGTATTCTCAATCAAAACAGTAAACAATTTGTTCTCCTGTGTTTATCTTTCTAAATCTGAGAAGCTGTCACCTTGTGTTCCAGCACTAGATTAGTTTTATTCACGCTGGAGATTACACACTGTGAAGCTTAATTCCAAAACACTTACTGGCAGGATCCTGTTCTCTGGCAAAAGTTTTGTCATCACAACTCCAGGCAGGAGAAGGGGTCCCTTTGCATGACCACCTAATGTACTTTAATGTATTTAATTTCACAACCTTACTTTTCCTGCCTGAGGTACTTTAGAAACTTCCTTCTTACTAGATTTTAGGGCAGGCAGAAAGTTGGTAATTCACGTTGTGCTTCTTCACAACTACTGAGCTCCTCCTCTTCCTCCCAGAGCATTATGGTGCCCCCTCCTCTCTCCTCAGCTGGATCAGCTCCTCAAACACTCATCCCAAGCCCCACTTCAACTTACACATGGGAAACAGGGGCAAATTATACAGAATCACAGGTTGGTTTGGGTTGGAAGGGACATTAAAGCATATCTTGTTCCAACCCCCTGCCATGGGCAGGGACACCGTCCACTAGCCCAGGTTGATCCAAGCCCCGTCCAACTGATGCTCCCAAACCAAAATAGTGAAATACTACAGAAAAGAAAAACTGGTCCTTGGCTGGAGGGGGACTGGAGTTTTATGTGATATTTTCGTCAAATCATGCAATGGTTTGGGTTGGAAGGGACCTTTTATTTTCTATAACCACGATTTAGTTTCAATGCCACTAATAGTCTGCCAGTCAGATCTCAGCTAAGCAGTTACAGATATTTATTTCTCAGGGCATTTATGAGGTTATGTGATTAAGATACTTTAATCAAACTACTTCCATGTCTACACCACGCACTGTCCATGGCTCACCAACAATAACAGCAGTATGCTCAGGACTAACACTACCCAAACTGACAGAATCAGAGCACCTCCACAGCAGATCCGCTTTCAGGCTCAGCTCACTATTACTCACATGACTTAATGGGAATGCAGCAAACACAGAACAAAAGCAAAAGTAACTAAAAATGCAAAATGCTGGTGTGAAAGTTGGTGAAAAGCTTTACTTACCAGGCTTGCCTGTTTTGTTTTTGCAAGCAAATAGCAAGAAGCAACGAAAACGGAAGCAAAATAGAAAATCGGGAATTGTTAGGAAAGCAGAAAATAAGTAATGCAACAACCTGTAATGCACAAAGCATAACATCTGTTTGTTTTTCACAAGGAGAATTTAATAATGCCTTTAAATGTAAAGTATAAGGATACATTTTTAACAGGAAAAAAAAAACAAACAACCCAACCCAACTTACAAATCCATCAATGGAAAGAATTGGGATGGGGATTTTGGAGGGGAACTCTGGGTAGCTGTGATCAAGGTGTGTGGAGGATGGGGTGCAGTGAATATTGGGGTTACACAGGCTCTGCTCCACACAGCCACACAGCTGTGAGCTGCAAAACTTGGGCACCAGGCAGCAAAGCAGCAGCACAAGCAGCAGGTTGGCCAGGAAGGGACGGTCTTTTTTTCTCCCCCCCTCCTCAGTATAAACTAAAACGTGTTAGGGGTTGAGGCAAGTGTAAGGAAAAAGGAAAAAAAGTTAAAGCACCAGTAAAAAATATGCAAAGAGACACTAAGAGTGATCTCTACACTGACAGCTTGCAAGCTCTGGCTGTGCAGTGTCACATAATCACATAAGCTAAGCTGGGTAATATTGGGTCCTATCTGTGTATGACAAACCTTCCACAGCCCTTGGAATCAAAGGCAGTTACTGCTTGCAATGCATGTTTTCAGTGCCTTTATAGGCAACTGTAGACAATCATATATTGTTAATACAGAATATTCTCAATGTTCATTATACACACATGCCGACCTACAAAAAGCTCAGCAGGACCTACCGACCCCACTGAATATTCACCAGAGGGACTGGTGAAATTGGCTCACTAGTGCCCTACTAACAGAGCTGCATAAATAGCTCAGAAGGGTTAAATCATGAGTAGAAACAGCACAGGCATTTCTTTTGTAACAAGGCATACTTTGCTTTAGCACTAAGGCATTACTGTGATAACAGGCCAGTGAAGTACATGCAAATAGCACACAGACATATTTTCCTCCACATGTGGCATTTGCATGAGCAAATTCCTGTATCAGAACAGACAGCAGTTTACGAGAAATGGTATGAGAAAGTGGGACAATTAGATCTAAAATTTACATTAAATGCAGGGAGAAGCCTCGCATTTAACACACTACCATGTTGCAGAATTTGCATACTGCTCTAATTAACACGTTTTCTGTGTCACTGCTGTTGGCTCAGTTCCTTTGCAAATGGACAGCAAATGAAATTACTTACAGCCACAGCTCTTAAAATCTTGCCATAGAGCATCTGAAACACTCTTTGACACTCTGATTGTGAAGTTCAAAGGTCTTTCTGTTTACTCAGTGGTCAATGGCCCTGTGCTTTAATTATCCTTCATTTCTTTGCAACAAGAGGAAGTGGCAGTGGTGGAATGTGCCACGGACACCAAGGCTGTGCCTTTGCCTCAGGACCCCTATTCTGTATCAACTTCTTGTGCTGTGGTCTCAAAAGTTGATTTTTTTTTTTTTTTTAAAAATCTGTTTTTCAGAAATAGAATTTGACTTTGTTGTCAAAAAGAAACTTCTGTTGCTAACTGTATGCATATGCTGGGGAAAAAAGGACAGGTCCTGTGTGTGTCCATATGACTGGCCAGGTTCAGGGTATATGCAAGAGTATATTTAGTGTAAAGCAAAATTAAATAAGTTCTTTTCATACTCTGGTCACTCCTATTTTAACACTTGCACGATGACAATGACAGACACTATGTCAGAAGGCAGGTAAGTTGGCTCACTTGTACATACAGAAGGCAAGGGAGGCATAACACCATAGAGAATGAAGCCAGGCATATCATTAGTATATATTATTCATTATTAGATATTTTATTAATTACTTTATTATAGTTGCCGTTATTGCAAAATTTAGTTACTTAGTTAAAGGCAAAATTTTCCCTTCATTTGAAAGGAGGCTGGGGTGTCTCCCAATGGCTGAGAAATGCAGGAAGGCAGCAAAAATCACCAGTCATTGGTGCTCTTCCCAGCAACTTTGGCCTTGGAGATCCCACAATCCCACTGAGCCATTCCCCTTTCTGGGTAACAGCTCGAGCTGAAGCAGCACAGGGCAGCACAAGCCACTGGTGCTTTCTGTAGCCAGACTAATAAAAAGAGCTTTAGGAATCTTATGAGGAGGCTTTAAAATCACATCCCAGGGGCCAGACCTCCCACGCTGAGGAAGTGCACGAGCCCTGCAACCCTTGGTTTTGAAATGCTACTGCACGTAGCATTTGTGGGACATGCCGTTAGCAAAGGTGGTTTTTAATTACTGAGAGGCAAAACATGTCATAATCTAGACCTTAAAGGAGACTCCTCTGTCAGTAAGTAACTGGGGAGGTGGATTGGCCACTCATAAACTCCCAGCTGGGATTGGAGTTAATCTTGGTTTTGGTCTGATCGATGCACTTAGCACAGATAATCCCTGTTGTTGTAAAGAGCTAAATTTGGTTATCTGCCATTAAACAGCTGGGAGCGGATGCCTAAGGGGTTTTTAGGTCATTGGAAGTCTCTCCTGGAGAGATCCCCCTGAATTTGGGGCAAAGCATTTGAACATGTTGCCTGTGGGACAGTTTGCTCTGACGCAGAAAGGAAAGCCTTGACCTCCTGTGTTACCTGAACTGCCCCAGGACCTGCTGGCTGCCAACTGAAGCCCTGATTTTCCTTACACTGGTGTCCTCAGATGCATTCACATTCCCAGCAGCATCAGCAGATGTGGCCAGCATCAAAATGAAGTCCACAGACTTCAACCAGAGAGTACCTTTCAGAGCAGAAACACCTACCTATCATCTGAGCAATTGTCTTCTCATATTCCGAGACTATTTTCCTGTGAGAGGGGAAAAAACAAAAGAAAAGCTTTTAGCAAACAACATAATTGTCGTGTTTACTTAGAAAACAGCATTATCAGTAACTGAACTGTGGTGTTTTAAGAGATACAGAACCCTACCATGCTTTTATATGTTCTTTATTGCCCGAGTAACAAATAAGACTGACAGTTTTAACACTGCACCTGATTTTTAATTCTCCATGGAAATCAATAAAGGTGGGGGAAGGAAAAAGGGATTGCTTTGAAACAAATTCTGTTTTTTGAGTCATGTCCAAAGTACATCACCAATCATAACTTAAACATAAATGTGGTCACACTGGCCTAATTCTAGAATTACAAAGGGCCTGATTTTTCCATTACTTTCTCCCCTCTTCTCCATATTTGTGTTTATTTTAATATGAACATTAAGTAAACTTTTAATGGGTAGCAAGTAAACTTAACAGGGGTAGAGTTGGCCCTCACTCAAAATATCTCATCTTCTAAATGAATCTTCTCATGACTAAATGATCCATTTGCACTTAAAAGAATAAGACCAAAATATTCAAACGTAGCATAAAATCAATCACGTCCCATTTCCCAAATCTGTTTTTGAAGCAGAGGTGGCAAAATGTTACTTTTAAGACCATTTTACTTCATATATTCACAGTAGGCTTTGAATTTCCTTCTTGAAAAGAGGTTAGCCAAAATAAGCAGATTAAATGTGATTTAGAAAGATGATCCATCCCTTCCCAGAGCCAAATAAAGCTAATGAAATGAGACTAGCTTGATCTGTGCTTTGATTCATGAGCCACGTAGGACTGTCTACAGAAAACAAAAATTACCACACACTTCATCTGAAGTGGATATTCGAAACTGGTGTTTGAATAAATCTCTTTTGAAGTCTTAGCTCGCTTTCACTTGCTTTGTTTTAGAGGTCTGCTGCAGTTGGTGAGGTTACAGAAAGGATGTGGGAAAATCCTGAGACAGAAGTCAGTAAGGAAAAGGAAAAACTTGCAGAGCTCCCAAAAAGTCAAAGCAGTAACCCCAGTACCTCCTGCCCCAAATCTGAACCACAGGCAGAGCTCAGAACCCCTGGGAAGGCCACCTGCCCCAAAGGGCAGCAGCATCTCCCTTGCCCTGGTCCTGCAGAGCACTCAGCAGAGCAGGGGCTCTACCCCTGTGCACTGGGATTTTTCCTCTGAACCATAAATGACACTTTTGAGAGCAAAGACAGCAGCAAGAATTTCCCCCTAAAAGGAAGGGTTTGGTTTCATCTCCAGGGAAGATTACCTCAAAAGCTTGCTGTAAGCAATAAGGATTTTAAAGCCTTGTCATATCCTTGTAACACCAGGCACCTTTAGGAAGTTTTATCATCCTAGAAAATGAAGCCAAGGACTCAGGGTAAGGAGCACTTCCCAGCCTGAGCAGCACCACAGAGGTTGGCAGTCAAATTAAATCACATTACCTATTTCTTGCTCTTACCAGCTTAGACTAGTGCAAGCAGGCACCACTGCAGTTCCCTGCACTATCCAGCCTCATGAATCAAGTGGCAGCTGTTCAACAGAAGTGGATGCTGCAATGGCACACTGATTTTAATAACATGCAAGGTAGTCAAGTGAAGAATTTGTTCCAGATTCACGTCAAAGGTCTCCTTCAGTCAAACAGCCTGAAAAATGGTCATTGTGGCTGGAGAATGAAAGGATGCTGCCACATCATTACTCTCTGGGAGAGCACATTTAACCCCAGCCTGACATGCTGCACAGGCCTAACTTTTGCTCTTTTAGACATTCAATCAGTCAGTCATTTATTGACTTCCTGAAATTTCATAAGTCATAAACCCACCAAAATCCAGGACCTCAGGGGTCATCTGCTTGACTTCCCCTACTGAGGCACCATAAATATTTCTTGCCTGCCTCTGGTTGTGCTCTTGGATTACAGTACAGCCCACCCCGGTTTCGCTCTTTGATAGTTCTTGCATATTTAAACTCATTTTGGCTTCTGTTCTCTGGAGTGGAATTTTCTCCAGACTGATGTTTTCCTGGAAACTTAGAGGAATTCAGGATATTCCAGCTAGAGTAGCCTGTACTTGGGTAGAAGAGCATTGCTTCTCCTTCTGTGAAAAGTGATGGTTTTGTGCTTGCAACTCAAGATAATCCCTTCACTCCTTCCTTATCATTATGTCACATGTCATTGCTGCATCTCTAATTCACCACACATGGGCTGTTTCAACATTTAATCCTCCAAGAGCAATCTTCCTCTGTACACATATGTGTATTCATCACTTTGTGACAATATCAGTCAGATTTTTTTTTTTCCATCCATGTGTTCCAGGCATGTGCCTGTGAGAATTTTGGCTTAGACAATGGCTTTTTTTTTTTCAAATCAGATTTTATCGAGGGTGCAGACACACAAGCAAATTACTGTAAGGAAGATGAGGGGACAAGACCTATGGAATGCCAGCTGCTCTGTGTCACCCCCCTGCTTCCTCTCCTTCCATGAATAAGCAGGCTCTGGCAGTGCCCAGCAGACACGTGCAGCCCAGCAGCTTCCAGAGAGCAGACCAAACACACACTTGAGTGTGTGCTGCATGCTGAGACATTCTTTACAATTCCTAATTTTGTTCATTCCTTGCTTTGCTCCCTTGGTCTGACTGCTTGCAGCCGCTCCTTTCTCCTTCTCCTCATTAAGCATTTGAGGGCTATGCCAGGGTTTTGTCTCCCTTCCCAACAGAGAGCAAGAGAGGTGAGAGAACTCAGCTGGGCACTGGGAGATGGTAAAAAAGAAATAAAGGGGCTGCCCTTGCCTTTTGCAGATGCTTCTCTTAAGATGCTTTGGCTCAGAGCCCCGTGCTGCCACAATTCCAATCTGCCATGTGTGACTCCTGGCACTCGTGCTAACGTTTGCTGAGCTCTGCACTGCAGTTCCCTTCTTCTCTCACTCCCTAAGTACAGTTTTCCTGGATACAAGCAGCAAGTGCTTATGTAGGTCAGCACTAGACACAGCATGTTGGCTTAAGTTTTAAATCACCGAGAGGTTTCATTTTGGGAAGAAGCTGGTGCTAGAACAGAAGGGATTTTGAAGAAAATTCAGTCTTGGAAGAGACTGTAGAAATTATTACTTAAAAGAAGGATGCTAAAATAATCTGACAGTTCCCTTTTATTTATGAGTTATGAGGGGGGATACTTTTTTCTGGTTTTTGAAGGTAGAAAAGAATAGGCTTTAAAGACTCCATGAAGTATTATTTTCATACATTCTCTTTTGCAACTGATGACTTTCTCAGATTCAGATCAATGAGCAGGCCAAGCTCATTGGTCCTTCTTATGGTCTTACCAACTGTGAAAAAAAGAAAGGCTGAACCTTTCAACTGGCTAAATGAGCTACATCAGTGATTCTTGGAGCAGCACCACTCATCTGATCCACTACAGGGATTTTGGTGTCATCTTTGCAAGTGGTAGGACCCAGGTTGGGAAGAAAGGTCAAAACATGTTCCAGGATACAGATATGTAACGTAACAGAGGCAGGTTTGCAAGGAGAAGCAGAACAGAACAGATACAACCATAACAAACTGAAAAGCTCAGGGTCCTTCTGTCAGTTTTCAATTATTACCCTGGACAGGGTTGCCCACCATACAGAGTAAAGACAAAATATCAGTTTAGGATCAATTCAAAGCCTGCAGGTAAAAATAATGAAACAAATTCAGACACCCAAAACAGCAGCAGGACCATGGTACTCTGTGTACTAACCACAGGCTGAAATGAGACTTTCTGTCTCATTTTATTAGCCGGGGAAAAGTTAATAACCCACCTCATTTCCATCACTTCCCTTCTGCTTTCTTCATATTTCTCTTTCCACTCAGATACTTCTCTTTCCTTGGCCACAATCTGAAACAGAGAAAACAAAGGAAAAAACCCCACATCATTAAAACCACATGATTCATTAAAGAGGAAATCAAACTGTCCAATATTTGTTTTAATATCAAATCCTAGTTAACAGGGGTAGAGTCTTCAAGTGGATAATGGGTTCAAATATAAGCAACCCTAGTGGTGTTTTTCAGACTACAAGGTGCAATTAAAAGGTTTGGATGTGAAATCATACTCCAGCTTTGAGACATTAACTTAGAAAAGCAGTTGCAATGTTCTTGTTTCATTTTTTTATTCCTCACTATAACAAGGACATTTTCCAAGGAATACTGTATGACCCTGCACTGTGTCTGATTTAACCTGGTGCCAAACCTGAAATGCCTCTGTACATTGGTTTGGTCCCTCAGTTTGTCTTCTTTGTGCATCTTTAGGGCTGTCCATGACATTTTATACCCCAAGGACTGTGTTCCTTTGTGTACTTTTCATTCACACAATTCACCATCAAGTTTGGAATACTCTAACACTGGACTGCACCCGCTTCTAATTGTTATCATTAGCCAGACTAATAATAAAACACATAATTTTATTCCTACTTCTAGCATCTTACTATTTTTCTGTAATTATACAGCGGTGCCAAGAGGCAGAGAGTACACCTGAGGTTAAAAGAAATAAAGGTTTATTTTCATATAACATCTGCTCTTTACTTATGTGAGACAAGTAAAACTTGCAGCGTGGCAGCCTTTGCTTTAGCACGGCTGAGGACGGTTTCAGGAGCAGAACAAGCGCTCATAAAACAAATCATTCAGGAGAAAAAGGGACAGGAGGGAACCACGAGGGGCAGGTATTTGCTTCTACAAATCCTGGAGAAAATTACCTCTGCTCTGGCGAGTCGTAGCGCTGAGTCTAAGTCCTGCTGGGGGTAGAGAAGAGCCGTGGTGCTTTCCGCATCCGAGGCGCCGATCCGGGAGTAGAGTGCACTTTTAGAGATGGAAACATCTGCTGGGATAGCAGGTTCTCTCTGTGTGTTTGGGTTTTTTTTTTTAAATACAAAGAAATGAACCATTAAATAAGTGTTTAGCTCACATGTTTTCTGGGTGTAGTGCGAGGCACCAGGGTCCTGAGCTGGGGGTTAGAGTTCTGTGCACCTCTAAATTGTGACAGCAATAACACAGACAAGGAACCTCGAGTTCAGCAATCGTAAAATATACATTTTAAGATCCATAGGAAGTGCCAAGAGAGTCGTATTACCCTTACAGAGAGAAAATAAAAACAGCACTTTGTCATCAATATTTTAAGGCATTATATTAGAAAATTTACTACTCTCTGGTGCAGGATTTCATCAAAACGTTCACAAGAAATGCACATCAGCAGAGGAAATTAGAATTGGAGGCAGAGAGCTTGTTAAGGAGAATTCTCCTTCCATAAAAATAAATCAAGAAACCAGAAGCAAGAGGACAGCTCACTTTCCTGGGTCTGACCTGCCAATACAGTGCATCTATCATAAACAATATCACATAAAAAGTGTGAATATACGAGTGATGTTGTTGCCCCACTAATGTTTAGCATGCAATTAGTAAGTTATATGAGGCTTTTTTTGCAGCTGTCAATTTTGCTCATGTCAGCAGCCCAGGTTAACAGGGGAGGAGAGCAGCATGTGAAATGAGGAGAGCAAAGAACAGGTCTGTGACACTGAGATGCAGGAGATGTCTCGCAAACAACTCTAGATACAAACAACTCAAGACAGCACATTAAATCCAAGGAGGTTATAAAAGAGAGTTCACAGAATCCCAGAATGGTTTGGGGTTGGAAGAGACCTTAAAGCTCATCTCATTCCACCCCCTGCCATGGGCAGGGACACCTTCCACCAGCCCAGGTTGTTCCAAGTCCCCTCCAACCTGGCCTTGGACACTTCCAGGGATGGGGCAGCCACAGCTTCTCTGGGCACTGCCAAGCCCAGCCCCAAGTCCACACGTAGCCACAGAGAGGGCTGGACTATGGCCCAACTGGACCATGGGTGGGGAGGAAAGTTAGGTTGATCAATGCCCTTTTCCATCCACTGATGGAAATGGATATTCACATCCAGCTTTTCTGGTGCAGCACTTCCTTACCAGTGAAAAGAGGATAATGCATTTTTCCAGTTTACTTGTTACAGTGTACTTGTTACCTTTGTGCATAAAACAACATATTCTGCTCCTTCAAGTTCACTACTGCAGTACCTTAGTCTTTAGGCTTATCTGCAGCAACTAAGAGTAGTAATCAAGAGTTTTTAAATTATTTTTTACATAAAAGAGAGGAAAAATTCTTTTATTTTATCGTAAAAGAGGGGGGGTTTGTTTGTTGTTTGGGTTTTTTTTTAGTTGGTTTGGGGTTTTTGGTTTTGTTTGTTTGGTTGGTTTTGTTTGTTTTGTGTTTTGTTTGTTTGTTTTGTTTTTTGTGGTTTTTTTTTGTTTTTTTTCTTTTTTTTGTTTGTTTTTTGGTTTTTTTTTTGTTTTTTTTGTTTGGTTTTAGTTGTTTGCTTTGTTTTTTAACCAAATAGCAGAGTCACACTCTACTGCCTGAAGCACAGGAATGTGAAAGTGAGTAGATAATGTCTGGATCAAGGTTCAGTCCTCATTAATTTCAACATCACATGTTCTTGTTCCAACACAGTTAGAGGAAATTTTGCCAGATGTTATTCCACTAAACATTCGCTTCCTCACAGTTCTTCTTGCCCAGCTTAGAATCACAGAAAGGTTCCAAACCCACTGTTAATTTTGTTGCAATCCCTTCTGAGTTCTCATATCACACCTGACTGAAGAAGCTACACCAGAAATTATATACAATCTTTACTCAAGATAAACACAGGACCAGATGTTCTGGATGTCACATCTGTAGACAACATGAAGAAACCACACTAGTAACGTTAAAAGACTAGGAAAGAAAATTTAATTAGAGCAAGAATAAGCTCAAGAGTACTTATAGAACACCACACTGAATCTTCCTTTATATGAGACTCTCACTAATTTGCTTTGTATTTTTAAACAAGAGTCAATTGGCTCTTACTTGTAGGATTTATGGAGGAGGCCATCCCTTCTCTTTTTTGCTGCATTTAAAATGAACACCCAAAATAATTATCAATTCCAGCATAATTAGGAGGTGCAACCTCAAATCCAGCGGGTTTTCCTACCAGAGGAAAAAGCACCCCAAGATCTATTAAAATTGCATAGCCTGTGCATCTATTAAAATTGCATAGCCTTGAAAGTATTTCCCAATGTACAACAACTATGTAGGGAAAAATACACCTGGGACACAAGCTCAGATATCTCTGTAAATGCATAAATACAAAACTGCCTGGTGCTGTCCACAAATCTGAGTAAAGGTAAAACATTCAGCAAATAAGACCACTGCTGCCTCAACTCAGTATCCCATCTTCAAAAAAAATGTACTTCAGTCCCTCCTCAAACACAAGGCAAGAATAACTGAGAGATAAAAAAGAGTCATTAGCTCATCAAAGCTGTCCCCCAAACAAAGGCCCTCCTTCAGATCGATCTGCTGAACTGCATGTATCACATTTCAAAAGCCTCCTGCAGCTTAATTTGCTGGATCTCATAAAGAGATTGCTGGAAAATATCAATTGTGGCAAAAGAAACACAATTGTGGCAAAAGAAACACAAATTTCCTCAAGCTCCTGTAAAAATGTGTCAAAGTAACTGCCAGGATGATGACGATTTTAGAGAAAAAAAATAAATGAAAGCATTTAATATTTATTTAATATTTAATTATTTTTATATAGTGCTCAACACCTCACTAATATAGTTATGTTTTCTCTAGTTGCATTTGAGTAAATTGTACAAAACAATATCAATAATGACACGCAAATGACTATAAAAACTTTCAAAAATGACTATAAAAACTCTTGGAATTTAACCACTGAGCAGAAATGCTTTGTGGTAGTGGTCCAATCAGCATTGCCCTAACTCTGGAAACACTTCACATGAGTCACAACTGGGCTCTCTGTCAGGAGTAACCAGTCAAAGTCCTCATGGTTTGACTTCAAAAGCCATTTTTACACAGCTCCTAAATTATGTGTGTAACTCAGCAACTGTTATTTGCTGCCTTGAAACATTCCTATCCTGAGAAAATACTATAACCTGACCAACAGGATGATGGTATTCCCAAAAATAACCCAATAATAATGCTTTAAGTTCAACAGCTAATTGCTGAGAAGGTAAGCAGTTAATTGGGGTAATAATCAGCGTGGGGATTTGTAAGTCACTAAACCTTGCACAGAAAGATTAGAGTCTTCAGGGGTATTACTACTAAATGTAGGTCACTGCAATCTTAGTGTAAATATTTGAGAGCTCAACACGATTCTTCTCCTCTTCCCAGCACCTTTCACAGAAACCAGATATCTGACCAGAAAGGGAATAAATGCACACCCCATTAACCAGCTGCTCTTGTCTCACACTTCTAGGAGGTCAAAGTGAAAGAAAATAGAGAAATGGAATGAAAATGAACACTGGCTTTTATCATACTAGGCAAATATGTATTCAGCCCTGCTGAAAATGAGCTTGCCCTCTCCAAGTCCTGAAATACAGCTCGGGTGTGTATCGAATGATCGACCCTTTTATTGATGTGTCTGCAGGCAGGTCAGTGGAGGCAAAGCAACACCTACTTGTGCTTGCAAATATATGGAAAGGCAAGGAAAATCCCAGCATGAGTTTTCAGCTTGTGAAGTTTTACTAGAAACCGTGGTGCTCCTGTTTGAAGGAAATGTTCCTCCCGCACTCCCACAAGAACCCCCCAAAGTTGTGGTGCATTAATCCCACTTGTGCTGGTGCCTTTCCTTTCTTTGGATCCTGTTTCAACACCCAACTCCCATCACCTCAGCATCCCCAGGGTGGTGGACACAAACCCTATTCAAGCTGCACCTGTAAGAAAATGGCCACAGGACACCCAAATGGAGACTGTTCAATAGGAAAGTGTTAATTTACCTCAGTGCTGGAAGACAGAAGTATTTAGCTATGCAAAAGCAGGTGACTAGTCCTAGTGTTGAAGTCCATGACAAGAAATTTGGGAGCGGCCAAATAACTTCCCTCTGCCCGAGAACAACAAGCTGCACATCCCCATTCTCATTCCTGTGCTAGCACAAAATGGTGATATTTAATCTTTTTTTTGGGTGACCTAATTAGCCATAATAAGTACTTCTGTCTTTATTTACCAACCTATTCTTGTTACCCACCCTGTAAGGTTTAGCAAATGTTAAATGTAATTATACAACGCCAAGAAAAGAATGGAGGTCAGACATCCAGAAGGGAATTCTGCCAGTTAGCATCCAAATTTAAGTCACTGCAGTCATCTGATGGATTCTGTTCTACTTAATGCAGGCCATCAGTCACTGCAGGTCACAAGGGATGCCGTCGTAGGCTAATTTAAAACTCCCAACCTCCTACTGGAATAGCAAAGTTATACAAGGACAAAAGTCTTTCCCAGACTAATGTGACACTCAGGGTGTTTGTGTACAAACATTCCTGCCACTGGACCAACGTGGGGCTTTGTGAGCATCAAACTGCTGCTGATTCTCTGTCAGAGGGGAGAGGTTTGCCTGTTTTTCTCTGCTTGTCTCTGCTTATCATTTTTGCTATCTTTATTACACAGATTAATGGCCTTTTCTAAACAAATCACATGAAATCCGTTCCATATGTCTGAGTCCTAAGGGGTTCATAAACTTGTTCTGGATAAAAGACAATGCTGTGATGATGTTAAAAAGTATCTTTAAAATGCAAGACCATATGATCAAATACACTCTACCACATTTCTGCAGCTCAGAATCTTCCCTGAGTAACACACAAGTATTCACAAACACATAAATCCATTCTCTACAGTCTAAAAGAGCACAATTTGTGAGTTTCTGAATTGTTGGCTGGTAGCAAAAATGCAGCTTTTTAACAAGAGTTTTTTGTATAACCCATGAAGAGCATCCATGTATTTATTATGTGTTTCACCTCGAGTGTTTCCTGGATGTTGCATGTCACAGCAAAGTGCTGGGAGGACAAGGAGGCTGAGAGAGAATAAGGAGGCAGAGAGGATCTAGAGAGGATCCCACCTCATTCTCTTCCAACCCCTGCCACTCAGGGCAGCAGAGCCAGGGGACACCATCACACACAGGCTGCTACTCACACAGGAAAATGTTGATTTCTTGCCCCCCTCCTTTGTTCTTTATGTTCCTTATTAGAAGTTTAAGCTTGGTTAGTCCTTCCAATGAAGACAACAGCATGTCTTTCTTCATTAAATAAAGGATTATAGCCACATGCTTTAAAATACCCCTCAACCTGGGAGCAATGCATTTACCTCAGTAATTGCATGTGCACCATGGAAACAACTGGTTGGTGGGTTATTTAAGGTAAGTGAAATAAATCAAATGTAATAATTATCTTTTCACAAAAGAACAGTTAACCTTAAAAAAAAAAATCTTTGCTTTTATGAACTATCTACTTAACCACTGATCTTTAAAGCACCAAGAAATTCCATCCTATAACCAGCTCAAACGTAGTTATGATGCAATAAACTCCAGACAATTTAGATCTGGGGAAAAAAACGTTCAACTGACTTATTAATGGACAGTATAAGAAGAGGAAGGTCACTGGAGAAGGACATGTCAGAAGAACAGTTGGAATAAAATGTCTCACTGCAGCAGGACGCTGTCACCCCCTCAGCACCCCATTCTGCTGATACCACTTCTCAAGAAACCCACCAACATTTCTGGACTGACTTTTTTGTTAAAAGTACCGTGAAGGGCATCATAAACCAGCTGTGCACCTGGCTAACCACCAAACCCAGCACATCAGAGGGAACTTTCCCAGCCCTTTCCAAACACAGTGAGTTCCACGTGCATCCCTAGAGCAGTGCAAAGCCTCACTCGGAGGCAGAACTAGCCAGGATGACCTGGAAGTAGCAGTAAAAAAAAAAAAAAAAAAGACTTAGATCTTCATATATAAAGACACATTGTGTTGAGGGGCCTTTTTTCCTTGGGAACTCCATATAGCCCTTCCAACCCTGCTGCAGTCCCTTTCTTCGGATGCCTGAGGGCGAGGTCGGCTGAATTTCTCATTTCTAAACATCCAAGGGTCAAAAGGTGTCTGAATTCAAGCTGAAAATACCAGCAAAAGACAAAATGTCCCTAGAGTCAAAGCAGGCTCGGTATTCTTTGCCATCAAATATTTTAGGACAAATCTTGCTGCAGAGAAGTGACAAATGGGTCGCAGAACTGCCACCTGGACTGCGGAACCCTGCGAAAGGAATGCGGCTCCTCCTTGCCTCCAGAGGTCTGTTGTTAGTGTGGGTGTGAGTGGGGCAGCGTTTCTGTGGGCAGCACATGCTTTGGTGCCACACCAGGGTGTGCCCAGCTCAGCACTGCACCCAGGGAGCCTCGGCCCCCTCGTTAGAGGAGAAGCAGCACTCGGATCCTCAGTCTGTGCACACTCACACACGCAGGGCAGGCACAAACCAGGTACCTTGGAGCGGAGGGAAGACAGGGCAATCTGCCTGGCTAACTTCAGGGCTTCTATCCTCATGGCAGCAAACTCTAACTCCTCCTGTCAGGTGTTTGGTTGTGAGTAACCCACGGGGAAAAAAACGGATTAAGAACAAGGTAAAAATGTTTTTAACACATTCAATGATGGAGTGTTATATTTTAGCGTGTATTCCTGACAATTCCTGGGTGATGACCACACCCCAAATTCCTTTCATTGATTCCTTTCATTTTGTACCCAGTACAAAACTCTAGGTGTTGGTTAGTTTTGAGGTAGCTGTATAGAGAAATAATTCTTATTAGGTGATCAGTATGAACAATGCTTTCGGTAAAATAAATGTTTTCTGAAGCTAAAGGTGTTTTTTTCACAGACTCCTCTCCCTTGGTTTCCATTTTATGTGAATTTATGCCAGCTGCTGGTCTCAATTCAATCTTTGCTGTTTTAAAATCTCACTGAAATAGTCTAGAAAATACATCCTGACACACAAGAACTGGTCTAAAGATCAATTTGCCTCTCCTACAAGAAGCCATGCCAAATTCTGCATTACAGATTATTAGAAAAACAAAGCCTGATATTCACTTCAGTAGAATTAGATCCTAAATCTCAAAAAGTAAGTCTGTGCATACAAACATACTAAGGCCAGGTATGAAGACAACTCTCTATATATCAAGTCCTGTGTTCAAGCTTAAAAAAATTTGCCTTATATAAAGATTTCTGCAAAATACAGGTACAGGATAGCTGTTGATGAAATGTAAGTTTATGCATTATATGAGTTAAATGAAAATATCTCTGTTCCTTAAGTTCTTGAAAGGCCAAAGTTACTTTGGAAAAGATCAAATACCTATTTTAATTCTTTTCCACTTCCCTTCCAAGCCTCCCCCACCCCTTTCATACAAGGTAAAGCATTGCTCTACCTGTGTACAGACAAACATAAAGAAAAGTGATATTGATAATTCTGCTACAAACCTGAAGTTTCTGAGCAAATACTGGGGGGTTCTTTTCTGCTAAGTCAGGATCTAGATATTCAGGCTGATCACATATTGAGGTTTTCTTAGATATCCTATTGAGAAGAGCATCAGCAGAGACAAAGGAGTCTTCAGGAGATGTCTGAAGGGTAAGGAGGATATAGAATAAGCAACAGAGATTTTGCCCAAGTAGTTCAGGCCAAAAAAATCTTTGATTTCTTGTAATTTTATGCCCCACCGAAGACCATGTCCGAATACACAATTCACAGGTGTGACACACAAACATCAACAACAACTATTCCTAATTTAAAAGCCGAGTAAATTTTCCAAGACTAACACGAAACAAGTGGCATCAGGACCTCTAAAGCCACGTCTCTCAAACCATGGACAGCCCACCCTCGACACTTCTGCAATAGTTTTCAAACAGTGACCACAGGTTCTGTTCATGCAATACTTTATGTTCAGTTCAGGCCACCTCTGAGGCACTCCAAAAGCTTTGAAGAGCACCAAAACTGAGGGGAACCTCAGCAAGACTCTTTCTGCAGTCTTTACAAAGCCTTTTGCTGCTTGCTGGGGATAAACTAAGTTGTGTTCACAATTTTAATGCTACCAGGATAAATACACAATATCGGGGTGGAAGAATTAGAATGACACAAAGAAGACCACTGGGACTTGAGTTCTCAAGACTTCCTGTGGTGAGAAAAGTATTCAAACTCTAAAAAACTGATTTGTGAGATGGTAGCAAAAGCAGCATTAATATAAATTAAAATTCACTATTAAAGTGACCTGCAGCATTTTTTGACTCCTCAGTAAACGTACTGTCATGTAGTTTAGCATTTCTAGTCCTGTTGGCATTTATGAAACAAGTTTGCCTGGAAAAGTTGGAGGCCTTGAGGGAACCCTCATGAATTTGAGAACCAATACTCTTAAGTCTGTAATGCAGCACAGGTTGCAAGCAAGGAAGGGCTCACCACTAACTCAAATACTACCCAGAGAAGACACTGAAAAAAAAGTGACTTAACTGGAAGCTGGAATGAGTTCTAATGATCAAGAAAGTGAATTTTGTATTATCAGCATTAGGAAACAACAATATCCTTAACAGTTTAAATGAAAACATGAAAGGATATCTTCCTTACTTTATACATAAAATATTTTTTCAAATATTGGGTTAAAGCACAGTGTAAGAAGGCCTGTGTGAGAGAAAAGGCACTTCAAAGTATCAACTTGGAATAAGTCACCACAAGAACGTGTTAAGGGATGGTGATAATTCAGAAAATTCCCCTGAATTCCATCAGTTCCATCAACCTCCATCCCTCATTTGGGTCCTGCCACGTGCTGCTACCAAGATCTTTAAGTATCAGGTTGAGTTTCACTCTACGATCAAGATCCACCTGTGCTGCCTCTTACATGACACAGGAAATCTCTGCAGGAAAATGATTCCCAAACTCTTATCATAAACTACTTACTATTTCAATAGCCTCTGGAGTTGTCCCCAGAGTCATAGGTTCTAGGTCCTTCTGCTTGGACTTGTCAGCTGACTGCAGGTGAGCCTCTTGGCTGGCACCAAGGACTCGGGAAGCTGGATGTTGGATTTTCATTCCAGAGGATTGCTGGGCTTCAGGGTCTTCAAAACTTGACCTGGAAAAAGATTGTGCACTTGTTTTCAGGGTGGAGCACAAGGTCTTTACAATTCTGCTTCTGGTAAAAGCTAACCAAGTCCTCTTCCTCACTCCCATGTGTATGTGTGTGTGTATATACATATATATATATACATACACACATATATTGTTTCAACTCAATTTTACAAATCATTATACCTCATAACACCCTGCAATATCCTTTCAGAGCAACGCACCTAAATAAAATATTAAATAAAACCAGTTCCATCAGAAATGTTACCCACATTCCTTAAATATTTCTCACTTGCCTTTTTACCCCTTTCTCATCTCTCCCAACAAACAACCTTTACTAAAAAGAACAAGATGTCCTCAACAAGCAAAATTATTGGAAGTAAACACAACTCCCACATCCTGTTCTTATGAACAGGAGTCCTTGTTCAGAAAAATGTATCCAGGAAAAGCCAAGTGAAAAATTGCAATTAGGAGATTTCTAGATTAACATGAAAATGAACTCAGTATCTGAGGAAAAAAACTGTAAGTAGGAAGCCACTGGCCAGTGAAACAGTTGCCACTGCGACTCTATTTGGTAAGATATGAAGGAGAAATGTATGTCCTTATTCATGTCCTTATTCCTGCCCACTGCAAAACTTCTGTTATCTTTGCCCTCTATTCTCTATCATATGTGTACACAGATGGGAATCTATTTTTAAACAAACAACTTGGCAACACAGAGGCAGAGGGAGGAAGACTGGCCTGTGTACGTGCTCTGCTGGTAACCCGCTTCCCTGGCATCCTTTTCCACCGCTGAGTTTGCTCCCAGTGACATACCCTGAGCACGGAGTTGTGGAATCAGACAATCTGATGGGAGGTGATTTGACTGGGCTCTCCTGCTGTGCATCAAACATTAGGTACAAAGATTGTTTCTTCGGGGTGCTATCATCCTGCTGGCAAACAGGAAAAGAGAAACTCATTAAGCAATCCAACCGTTCCCCATTAAAGCTAATTCGGGTCACTGAAACCTTAAATGACCAAATGACTTGACAGAAAACTAATAATATAGGACTGTAACGCTGATGCTGAGATGATCCCTTTCAGAAAGAAACCATTAAAGAACAAAGGGCTGTTACAAAGAGCGAGCTGAACAGCTCACTCTTTGTAGTGGCTCCTCTTCTCCCACTTTGGGGTTAATCAGATTTCTAGTCCTGTCAGGCAGGAGGTATCCCCTGGCTGAGAGTGTTACTAAAATATTCATTGAAAATTCTCGTTGGTTTAAGCACCTGACATACATGCCTGATTTTTCTAACTACCCCACTGGATATGCCCTCGTGGGATCTAGTCCAGCTATCGAACCCATGGATTAAAAAGAAGCAAGGCAAAACAACTGATAATGTACAGCACTGCATTCCATACTTCACGTTAATTCTGTATTCTCTCCTGATTCCCTCCAGCTTCTTTAAAGTTTTACTCTCAGTTGCTTAAAATAGTTCAATAGCTGGTGTAGACAGCTCTGCACTGCTGGAAATACTGATGTGCTTTTAATCTGCAGAAAGAACTACTATGATGCCAGCCTAAGAATTAAATAATAAAATGGAACAAGTTTTACAGGATACAGGACAACAAAGCACATGCAATTTACTCCAGTTATGCCAATTTAAAGGAACTGGGTTTTGCAAATCTCCTGCAGGCACATTATAATTAATTTAAGGGGTAGTGGGGCTGATGGCATTATCAGGATAGTACATTATGAGAAGGGAATGCAAATGAATCAAAATGGAAGTGAGAACTTACAGGCACAGAGGAGCCTATTTTCTCCATATATTCTATTTCATATGAGTTGCCATATTCCAATTCTGCAACAGAAACAAAAAAAGAGGTGTTAAACACATGCCATGACAAGGTTGTTGAAGAAATAAATGAGATCTCATTTACAAGGGCCACTCCCACTCTCCTCAATCCTTTCCTATAACGTATTAAAAGCAGAATATACAGAAAGAAAATGGAAGGTGCACTGACATTCACTGATTTTTAACAATGAACCTATGACACTTTTCAGGCAAATTAACTTGCCTGAAAAAAAATTTCAGCTTTATCAGTTTGCCCCAGGGGCCAGAATATTAAGAAAGTTTCAGTGTAATTTCAGGGCACAGACAACTTTCCTCTATCATGTTGTCTCATCGCAGAAAACGCATTTTTCAATAATTGGTACTGCTGATACCAGTTTCCTTTAAAAAAAAAAATGTTTCAACAGCTGTTGAGAAATGAATTAATTCCTATTTCCTAATGTTCATCATACAATTCTTAATTAAGAATAACTATTGTGGTATCACTTAAGAAAAACATACCTAAAATAACCTGAATGCTCACTGACCAGGAGTGAGACACCAGCCCAGCTTACTGGCCTGTTTTCACACTTTAGTTTCAGAGAAAAAGCCTAAGGCAGGAAGATTTACAAAGAACTTTAAATCTAGAATCTAATAAAAATGCAAATCTTAAATGCTTCTCTACTTCTAATCTGCAATTATCTTGGAGGGAATAAGCAGCATTTCTTTCCAATACATGGTCACCCAGCAGCTGAAACAGAAGCTGACAGATCTAACACAGGAAAAGAGAAAACAGAACATACCTTCCTGCACCCAAACAAAGACCTTGTTCAATGACAACTTAATTTAAAAATTAAAGACATAATTAATTTGTCCTAATGCTGTACTTTATTCCGTTTCCATGAGTTAATTCAATAAACCACTCGCATCATTTAATTTCCATTATAAATAAATTCTAAGGAATGCCACACTAGCATTTACATTATGATAAAATCACGTGCTAAAATCCTTCTAGATTTGGGCAGCTTTTGAAAAGTAGGGCTTGCATTAGGGAGATGATAACCACCATTAAAATGTTTGATATTTAATAACAAACCAACCCTAAAGATAATCTCTTGCCAGTTTTCTTAAAAAAAAAAACTGTTGAAGGGTGCAATGTGAGTTTAAAATACTCAAATTGGTTTTTATAATAAAAAGCACTGTAGAGTACAGGGACTGTAATTCCGCACATTGTGTATTTTTGTCAAACAACCACTGAAGAGGAACAGCCACGAACTCTCAGTACCTGACATGTGGGGGATATTAATAGCAAAACTTGCAAGTGAAGAGAGAGCTGTAATAGCAGGCTCCTCATGTTTAACTTCCTAGCACCTTATGTTTTCAGTGGTAGCAGGGAGCAGGCAAGATAGACAGCCTCCTGGTACCAGATACCAGGAGCATCTTTTCCCACTCCCTTTTCTTCCCAGTGAAAGCAAAACCAAAACTGAACCGACGGGACTCAAACCACCACCCAGACACAGAACTGCAGCAAGCCTGAAATCCCAGGTAACAGCAGCCAGTGCTCAGAAAACTGCCCTTCTGCAGGTCATTTATCCCGGTGAGGTGCAGCAGGAACGTTTATGGAGCATTTACACCCCCAGAGAGCAATCCCTGAGCGAGCATCCAAGCGGGCTCACGGGCAGGACACGCTCCGGCACTGTCCTCTGCTGGCACAGCCGGCAGAGATCCTCCACCTGCCTCCAGCACTGGCATCAGCTGTGCAATCCCGATCCAAACTGACTGCTGGGACAACACTTATTTACCTTCACTGCTTAAAAAAAAAAAAAAAAAGCAGGACACAGATGGAAGTAGATCAACTAGAAACAAAAGGAGTAACACGGCTCGCTAAACGCAGTTTGTTCCATCTCGTTGCTCTGAGAAGTTTCCGGGGCATAATTACTCTCTCTCCTTTCCTAAATATCTCCTCTAAGGCATCATCTCCCCTCCAAAATCTTAGGCTCTGGTTATCTCTGCACATTCAAAATTACAAATGCCCAGGATATCCCATAAAGCAAGATAATTATCTTCTACAAATACATACGAATGGACTTACTAAGTGGTGTCCTCCAACTCCTCCTACAAATAGCTGCAAGATTATATCAGAATTTTCTGCTAATAATTACGGCTCATTTCTGGTCTGTGCAACAGGAAAATGGCAGCAGTTATGAGCAGCTCATGAAAGAGATGAGAGCTGGATGCACTGGCTGACTCAGGAGTTGGGCTGTATCTGCACAAAAGCCGTGTTAGGTTACAGGGTAACACTCATGCTGGTGGTCTGGGAGGGGTAAAAATATTCCCAGTGAGAAACAGCCCTCAAATTCCTCAAAAATTGCTCAACCCCGCATTAGCAAGACTGTCAAGGGGAAAAAAATTATTATTTTTCAAAGATCTGAAAAGCAGAAGCATTGTTGATTATAATGAGTGTGTAATCTGAAACTCCGACTATACCATGCAGCACACATGAGACAAGACAATTAGCATTTAATTAGGAGATTTGCTCACTTTCTTCTACCCTCTTTGAAAGCTAAAATGATTGCCTTTGAATATCTCTCACTATTCTTTTGTTCCATTTCCTGCCATATAGTTTCCATTTCCTCAGATTTAAGAGGCTTATTTCTGAAAAGTGTTTCTTTATTTTTTTTAAATACAAATAAACTGAAGATGATGTCTAAAATTTGACAACCAAGTCAAATGGATTTATCCAGACTGAAATACTTATCTGTCCAGGAGACCCAACAGATTTCCAAAAAGCCAAGGGCACACAAACATAGAAGCACATGCATATGAACCATTAAAAGCACTGTGGTTATTTGTGCCTTTTGATGTCAAACACTTTGACCTAAAAGCTTAGCAATTCTTAATTAGGCAAAAACTCAGACCCAGTTTAAAATGGCATAAAGTAGCTTTAATGGTAGACTGGGACACAGACTGAAAGGTTGGGGGAAAAAAATGAATTCTGATCGAGAAGAAGAAGTTTAGGCCAAGTTAAACTCAAACATTCTTCCCACCCACAAAGCTGAAAATCTGCCTTTGGAGCAGCTGTTGCAAAGCAGTATTCCCTCTGGTAATTCCAAGGAAGGCCACACACAAACTTTCTTAATTCTGTCTCTTCCACATTTCACAGACTTGGAATGACAGTTCTCTAAACAGAAACTTCCAGCTTTAGGCCATAACTGCTTATAGGAAAGTATAATAGGAAAAACATTAATAGGCTGATCCAGTAGGCAATTTTATCTGGCATATGAAAGAAAACTATCTTGCACAGGGGTTATCCTGTACATTTTAATGCATAAATATACCTGGATCCCAGGAAGCTGGAGGAGAGGTGGCATGTTAAGGGTCTTAATGCAATATACAAAATTTGAGCAGAATTTTAACCTGGGACCTTCTGCCATTCAGGTTAGAGGAACAGGCTCGGGCAGAATCAGTAGCTCAGTGACTCTGGATCCAAGAGCACTCCCTGAGAGCAGTGTCAGACCCCAGTCTCCTGTGCAGGCACCGAGAGAACAGGTCACACTCACAGAAGAACAGAGCACATCTACAATTAATCACACAGAGGAAGCAAAAGCCTTTCTCTGAAGGTTCCTTTCGTTTTCCTTTAAGCAGCTCCTTTTCTCTTCTTGAAAACTGAAGGTCAGACTATTGGGCTCTTCAATTCAGCTCTCCATAACTACCACATTTCCCAAAATGGTCCAGAGAGCATCAGGGTTCCTAAACAATAGTTTGCATTCAGCAAAGCACATCCTCGAACAAACAAAGCCCTCTCTCAATAAATATCACACTGGCTCTGAGCAGACAGCCCTTTGGGACACGTACCCTCTGTAGGAGAGCTGAACTTGGTCTCATTGACAAAGGTGGACAGGTCAGAGGGTTGGGGGTAATCCTGCTTATCCGTGTTCAGGTCCACAGTCATGCAGGTCCACTTCTGACCCGTCACTGAAGACGCCAGCTTCTCCTCATCTGTCGCGTGAACCACCGTGGAGATGACAGGAGGAGTTTCTGGAGTTGGCAGTGGAGTGGGATCCTGCAGAAAACCAGTGCCAATTAATTCTCTAATCTTTCATTAGCACATTGAACAGCTAAATCTCTGGATTCCTCTGCACCACCAGAGCCATCTTTGTAATTCCGTAATCTTTGCTGCAGCTCTGTATAAAATACCTCATGAAAAATACCGACCCTACCAGTAGCAAGTTTTCCCAGTACAACTAAACTCTTTGATGATAAACACTTGCATTGCAAAGCTGCTTTGATAACAGGGAAGAAAGAAAATCCAGAGCTCTTTAAATCTGTTAGGCACTTGACTTGAGTGGCACACATCACCCCTGACTGAAGTCTCTGACTTTTCAGGCTTCCCCCATAGGAGTAAACCTCCCTAGGTCTGCGGGGTCATGAACCCTTTCCCCTTCCTTCACTTCCACACTGTCAAGCAGCACAAATGAAAGGGCAGGATGGATAAGAGGAAGAGGAACAGCAGCGTGGAAGGAGCTGTGCCACAACAAAGCAGTCAGGCCTTTGTAGGCAGAACAGCTTTTGTTAACTTCTCTTCCAAGGAAACCACCTGCCAGCAGTTTACAACGTGGAATCAAACCATCCCAAGCACGTGTTTCTGGTAGATCAGCCCACTTGGTTTATTTCTATTTCCCCTCCAGCCCACCAATTTGATGCATTTAGTTTCTTGCTTTCTAATCTAAAAATTCCAGGGTGGATAGTGATGCCTAGTTTTTCAGACAGCTGACTGAAGATATTTATTCATATTCTTGCTCCATCATAACATAAGACCTTCTGAAGTACTCTAACTGGAATTCCCAGAGCAAATGATGTGTGTTGTATACAGATTTCTAGAGACCAAAAGGTTAATACTTTGTGGTTACAGCCCACTGTGCTACACTTGGGACCCAACATGCATATATTCTCTACAGAAATCTCTTCTATTATCAAATGTACAATTCTACTACAAAAATCTATTATTAAATGTACAATTCTACAACTAAATAAATCAAATTTCCCTGGTCTCGCCCCATCAAGAACACAAATTACACGCACCAAAATAAGGCAGCACTTTACCTGAGAAGGAGGATCTGATAGTGGGGATCTTTTTGGTGATTTTTTCACCCTAAATGTATCACTGAAAATGAAGTTAACACAGTTAATATGGTAATACCAGGAAGAATCAGGTAATTTCATACTTAGCAAGAGACAGCCACAGACAATGCAACCTCTGTAAGCCCTTCTGCATTAAAATCCCATCCATTAGGCAGCAGCACCACAGAGAAACATGCCATGGGTACAGATTCTTGTCATGCACTTGGAACAGGCCTCGATTCCCCAAAAGCTGAGAACAGCAGGATTGCCATATTTTTCATGCTAACTGCTGACACTTTTACAGAACAGGGTTACTGCTCAGCTGCAATTCAAATCCTTGCTCCATCACAGGCACCCTCAGTGGCCTCAAGGAAATTATTTAGCTTCTGTCTCCCAAGTGAAAATTAGGTCTAACCCACATCTTTTCCTGAGAATTAAAGCTGTGATAAATTTGGGCAGTAAGTTCCAATGACCTCAAAAATCAGTAAGAAAGAAACTGTTATGCTTTGGATGAACCACACAAAGCCATCTGAGGCAGATGCTGTTCCCAAGATGCCAGAACAAAGCTCTGTCATTACCAATGGGCACAACAAACCCTTTTTAAAACAAATCCAACAAGAAATATGGCAATTCTGCTTCCAGTTCCCCTGACAGCTCACAGTGCAGACTGGGAGCATGGACACTGTAACCCTTCAAAATCCCACAGATTTCAATCAGGCAAAAGGAAAGACAAAATGACACATTATGTCATTAGGGTGCATATTTACTGATGTTGCCTTTGTGTTTATTCACAATTGGTTCAAAAATATTTTCTAACTAGGAATAAACCAATTATCTATCTCTTCTCTTGATGCATATTGCCAGAGCTATTAAAAAACATTTATGTTACTAACTAGAAGAGGGAGAAAAACACCACAGCAAGCTCACTGATAAAGACTTTATGTTTGAACTGAGATGCAGTGGCAAAAATTACTGCCCACCAGCTCATCCCTGATCAATGCTGGCCAGATCGACACCAGAAATTATAATGGTGGGTTTCAATCAGTAAAGGGTAAATCAATACCACATCTAGAGGGGAAAATCAATTGGACAGCTGAATATTGGTGTGTTAGATGCCACTAATGATCCTAGAAGTAATTAGGACAACTTCTTCCTTTAAGAAGGAGAAGCAGTTTATGCAGTATTTACAAAGGACTGACTGTACAACGTTGTTCAATGTTACAAATAAAATTTTCATATTTTAGCTCAAGGATACAAAATCTCTGTATTTTTAAATGAGGATCTTGGATAGGCAAACACATAGTGAGGCAAAAGATTCCTTAAACTCATTCACAGCCAGGCATCTCACTTAAAATAGCTTTCACATGTACCAGGGAAGTGAAATCGTTAACATAAAAGCTTCATGCTGAATAATAACTGATCATGCTGCAAAATAAATAAGTAAAATTAAAAAGCCCATAAATCAAAAGAGGAAATTTGAAATGTTAGCTTAGAATTACTTACAACAGAGAACATACAGACATCACATCTTCTACCATCCTAAGACAAATAAGACAAAGAAAAGAGAGACAGACAGAAGGAACTGACAAAAAAGATTAACCTACAAATACTCTGTTAATGTGTTAAGGCAATCTGATCATGCATACTTTCTACCTGTATAATCTTAACCCTTACTTTTTATTGTGAAATACATCAGGAGGAAAAAAATACTCATCAAGTCCTTCAATGTTTTCAAGTTCAATGACACACTTTCACCTTACAAAACACATTTTTCAAAGCTGACACCTTCAAGTTAAAAAATCAACACCCTAACCCTGCCTTCCCTGAAGGAGGCCACCTGCTTGCTCTTCAAAACATGGTGTTTGTTATTATAGGAGATGTAAAACTGTTCTTGAATGGCAGCTAAGCTTAAGAAAAGAGCTATTCCAGGGGTTTTTTTTCATGTTTGCTGATGTGTTATGACAGTACAGAGAAAGCTACTTGACCATTTCAAATCATGTACCCAGGTCAGGAGAGAAAATGACATTTTAAGTCTTATCTGTTTTGCCTCTCAATGAAACCTAACTTGGTGTTCTGACAGAACAAACTGATTTCCCCCAAACCAGAACCAAACCCTGCCAAACAGTTTAGGCTAAGAAAAGTTTTCATCTGCTTATAAGCTTGGCAGCTCCTCCTTGTCTCTTCTCACGTGCAATGGGCCATGACAGCCGGCACCTTCCATTTCTAAGCAGCCTCCAACCATCCAGCAGCTCCCAGAGCAGTGCCTACACAAGCAGTGTCTGTGCAAACCACCTACTCTTACTCATCACTATCAGCTGCTCTTTGCTCAGCATCACCTGAGCAGCATGATTATCTCAAAGCAGCTCAGCACTTGGGCAGATGACCAGAGAGTAATTTGTGTTGAGCCGACATCTCTTCTAAAAAACCTCATCATTTCACACAGAGGTCAATGCTTAGACTGCTGCAGGTTTTTATTCAAGAATAAAAATGGATTGTTTTTATTGATTTAATGTGGGTAAGACTGAGCACATGGCTCAGATTCAAAGTAGTACAAGCTTAGCAATAGCTTAAACTCATGCCTGGCTTTACCTCTCATAGGTCTAATCTAGAAATCGCTGCCTTCCACACAAGGAACACATTTTCAAACTGGCCAACAGGATTTGATTTCTGCACCCTTCAATGGTGCTAATAAAAACTTGTGACTTGGCAAAATCACCTATCAGTTAGGTGTTAAAAGTCCTGGAATACTACAGTATCATTTCCTAATTCAAACACCCTCGTTTGTGCCCCTTGGAGCAGAAGCATTTTGAACTGTCTTCTCTCCCTGTCCCACCACGGAGTATTGCCAAGGAGGATCCTACATCCCATCTCCCTGCCCAGCCAGGGCTTCTCCTGCACTGGATGCCAAGGAGGAGTCATGCTGAGGGCTTTTTCATGAGGGACCAGAGGGGCAGAGGCAAACAAAGCCACTGCTTTCACTGGCATCCCTGAAGAAGCTCCAAGAAGCTTTAGGCTAATTTTCTTCTAGAAAATACCATAGCTGCAGGCTGCACTGTGTATTAATATGCAGAGTCTCTCTTCTTTGTAAAAAAAAAACCTCCTGCAAAAGTAGGTTACGGGGCTGCAGTGAGCAGAGACACAACACAACACAGTGAAAGCAGGGACAAGCAAGGGCTGGGAAATCCTGCAGCCCTCCTGACCCAAGAACTTGTGAGCCCTGTGCTGGGGGAGCTTCTCTGCTCCACCATGATAAAGACCAGCAGCGAACTTCGTGACTGTAGGACAGGGCATTCTCACGATGGATTTTCCCAAGGATGAATGTGGTTTAGAAAACTCTTTGTAAACTCATTTTGCCCCTAAATTAACATTGGAATTCATTCTAATATTCAAAGCAGATGGGTGAACTCAAGAGGCCCACACCTGGGGTCTGTCAGCTCCAGCTACTGAGAGACACAAGGAAACTGTCTTGCTGGAAATATCAAACTTAAGGATCTGTTGATATCAAAATTCCCCTCTTTCCCTCTGCATTTCTCCAGTACAAATCAAATACTTCTTCTTTTGCTGTCAGACTTTTAAGTCTTCTTGATTTGGACCAAATCAGTTCTGACCGCAGCCTTGGAAAACATGTTATCTTAGCATGGATCTTAATTCCCACCCAAATTCCCACTAAATTTTTCAGGTAAACCTCAAAAAGAAGCAATGTTAGAAAAAACAGGCTCCTCCCTCAAAAAACCCAACTCAACTATACAGTGACCTAAACCACCCATAACTCATAAATGCCTCTAAAGAGAAAAAAAGTTACACAAGCTTCCTAAAATCTGGCAAGGGACGTGAGTTAGAAGCCTAGAAGGTAGGAGGCTGCTCAGAAAAAACTGAATAATCTCCATCCCACTCTGTACAGGAGGTCATGTTTTGTACTGTTTTACATTGAACCATGCCATAGCTCCTCTGATAGGCAGGCTTTTAAAATTTTACTCCCATTTTTGTTAGCTAGCTGAAACACTTAAACCATAAAGGAACATGGACTGAGATACTTTCTTACAGATACACACAGGAGATCGATTTCAGACAAATTGGGATATAAACTTGGTGATTACCAACTCGGAATAACCATGTCTGAATAGATAAAGCAACAAGTACACAGGCAAGTGAATCAATGCCACCAGCCACTGAGGTTTTTAACCAAATATCTAAACAGAGCAAGATGGAAAATGTATCCTGGGATTTGTCAACTCTGTCTAAAAGCTGGATATTTCCCTAATGTGTAGCAGTTTTGGATATTTAAACCCTTCTACATCACTTTAAGCTCTTTCATTAAAAGGAAAATTTTTTAGTCTTTTGTGTAAAAAAAAAATATATTTCAATAATACATTCTTCTGTTTCAGGTTCTTTTCTTTTAAATACTGCAAGTCACTGGATAAAACCATCTCCCTGCTCTTTGCAATACGAGATTTGTCACTGTTGTGTTATTCCACATCCCACTCTCAAAAACAATTACTCATAAAATACTCTTTACTGGTGTGAAACTTTGATCATTTTAAACAGCATCGAATTCCCAAGATGAGGTCACAGAAAATTTGGTACAGAACTGATAAAATCACAACTTAATCGGGTTCAAAACTACGCCGAGCCTGAAGACTTCAAAAATTCGGTTGCCTAATCTGGTGTGGCAGCCCTGGATTCTCCCTTTTGGCTTGGAAACATCAAACTATTGACAAAACAGGTTGAGGGAGAGCAGGTACAGACCCCCCCAGCGTGGGTCCAGCTGTGGCTACCAACGCTCAGCTATTCAAATATAATCCATGTGTAACCGTGCTAAGGGGTAGGAGTGTGCTGCCTCTACTCTAGAGACATCTCTGCCCTTTAACTTACGTTTTCAGTGGCGTCTTCTTCTTTTTCGCAGGTTTGTTCAGGTTGTCTCCTTCTGTCCCGTTCGTTTCGTTGGCACTGGCTGGTATCTCAAAGGAAGCTGGAGATTTGGAGGGCGAGCTGGCTATCTTAGAAGAAGACTTGAAAGGGTCAATGGAGTCCTCACACATGTCTGGCTCAAAACTGTACGTTTGCTGAGGCAGTTTGGGCGACTCTTGCATTTTTGTACTAGAGGAGAAGGGGTTAAAATTGGGATCATCCCACTTGTCAATGTCAAAAGTGTAAGAGCCTTTTGTGATGGGGATTTCGTTTGGATCAGTGGGGGACTTGGTCGGAGTGGTCGGAGCATTGTCAAGCTTTTCCACGGGTTTTTTAGTCTTTGGCCTCCGTAGTGGCATTTTAGCACCTGGCTTTTTACCTGCCTTTTTGGGAGGGGGAGTGCTCTCCTGCTGGTCTTCACTCACCCCCTTTTCTTCAGAATAATCAAACTCCAGCCTCACTGCAACGCCTTTGACCGGAGGGTCCTCCTGTCCCCCGGTGTCCGGCGGAGTCACCTCCCCAGCCGCCGGTGCCGTTGTCAGAGGTAGTGTTTTCTTGCTGGCAGGGGGGGAGTTCTGCACTTTGCTGCCTCCGCTGCTAAATGCACTAATCCCTTCAAAATGGTCTGGATCCAAAGAGTCAGATCCTTCAGGCACAGGCAGGGCCTCCTCTCTCTCAGCAGAGATTTTGGAAGGTTCAGTACATTCGGGCTTCACCGAGTCAGCCTTGCCTTCAGATACTCCTTTATCCTCACCTGGGGCACAAGCTGCTTGGCCAAGGTCAGAAGGTTCTTGTGGGGTTTCCTTCACCAGTGGAGCGTCCAGAGGTTTTTTGGCTGACTGCTTCTTTTTTAAGGAAGCTGGTCTGGGTTTTTTTGTTCTCTTAAGGGTGCTGGAAGCGCTGCTTGAACCGGTACCGTACACATCTGCTGACGGTGCTAATGTCTCGCTGTTGCCAAGGTAAGATGCTCCATCAAAATCACTGGCTTGCAAGCTGAGAGATCGAGACAACGTGGATTTGGAAACTGGGACTGAATCAGTGGATTTTCTTCGAACATTTGCTTTGGGGTCACGACTCTTGGGTTCTGCAGAGCTCGGTCCTAAGGCATGGAGAGAATCAACCAACTCAATGTTATCAAAGTCCAAGTTGTAAGTCCCACTGCTGGCTATGGGCTTGTCCTCGTCGAAGACAGTGGAAAAAGAATGGCAAGGGGGACGGAAAGGGCTTTCTTGGACTGGTTCACTGTGTGACACATCGGTTACGGGTTCAGCTTCTGAACATAATCCTGCGGGAACAAGCAGAAAACTCCGTGAACTTTAAACACGCTCTTAGAACTGGGGCTTAGCAAGTTTTACTGTAATCTAATATAGTAAATGTCCAGCATTTGTTTAGATTACTAAAAGAAAAAGTCATTAAAAACAAACAAATGGACTAAGCAGCGATTAGAGGACGTACAAACCAAAGTGGCATTTTCAACAAATGAACTAGATTGAGGGAAAAAATACAACTGTTCTGCCCAGAAAAGGATTCGAGGCAGGTTTCACGAAAAGACAAAATATGTATTTTACAATAGCCCCTGAAGCATCTCTTCTAAACTGTCATTTAAAGAGATGGATATTACTGTAACATGCTATATATTCCAAATACCTGGAAAACTGCACATCAAGCACATTCATCCCATTTTCTACTATTATAGAGTTCACACCATTGTGTCAGAGCTCTTATGCAGTAAATTTGCTGTAAATTGACTGGTGCTTCAGTAATTACATGCTGACCTTAAGTTTTGTTTCCCATATGCTATTTTTACCAATTTTCCCAGAGGAAACTGGTTTCCTCTCCACAACCCATCAATGCTACTCTTCTATTTGCCCCAAGCAGTCAAGACACTCTACTCTGACCTCATACTTACAAGTTTGTAATGAGAGATGAATCACTGAGAACTTAATGTGAAATAAATTATGGTAAAGACAAAAACCCCCCAGTCAATTAGAGAACTCTACAAATATTTTCAGCTGAAAAATCTTCTTTTAAAAAGATCACTAGATGCTCCCTACAGATTATTTAAAACAGATTTTTCCAAGTGTAGTTCTCACTTGTTGACAAAAAGAAAATTTTGTAGAGGGATTTATATGCTAGAAGTGTTCATCCAAACAGCTTTTCATTGTAATTAAAGATCTTCTTATTGAATGGATTCCTAAAATGATTTATAGAAGTCTCTTCACTCAGGATACAACTCTACTGGAGAAGCAGAAAAAGATAAGAGTGCATATCAAAAAAATAGAAAATATATAGGTAGGAAAGGATTAAGATGATGGTCCTTGCTGCCTTGCAGCTCATCAGGTTTATTATTCAAATGATTTACAAATCCTGAATATGGTTTGCTCCTGCTGTCATTGTACTGGCGCTGATGTGAATGTGACATGGTCACCTCTGTCCACGTGTCTGTGTCCCAGACCTGGGGCATCTCTGTGCAGCTCACAGCTCAAGCTGGGCTAAACCAGCTGCTCAGAGCTCTCACTGAGCACCAAAATTTCCTTGTGTTTCCTACTGAAGCAACACAGCATCCTTCATGTTGTTTTTTTTTTTTTAATTATTCAATTATAAAGGAAAACCGTCCAACGAAAATGAATGCTTTGCTCGGCCTTAAAGGATTTCAGAGACATTTCTACACTTCTTTTTCATTCCAATCCTGACATGTTTTGCAAAATAACTCCCATTTTGCCCAGCCACATTCATTAACACTGTTCATAAAAGCAAGCAATTATTACTTTTAGTGAGAAGCTATGACTGGATTAAGAACAGAAAAATAAAATTTCCTTTGTTTCAGAAGGTAATTTCAGAAGAAATTGTATGTCTGCACAGAGACTGCAAGAATTATTATTTATGGGTGTAAAGGATAGAAAGGATTTAAGGGAATTGGACACATTTCCCAAAGCAGTTCCTTAAAGTGGCACCATGTATTTCCAGAGACTGTCAAAGGAATGACAGCTACTCAGTTTCTCTGTCAGACCGTGGAAGTTCACTAAGAGACATCAATTAAAACAGTATTTTAATGTGTTTTTCTGCTAAATGAACGTTAATAATGTGGCAGTACTTCAGGACAGTTTATTTTTCTCCTTAGTCCCCACTGGGTCGGGCTTAGTTTCAGCCTGGCTGAGGCATCATTAATTAGGCTTCAGAGCTGGTGCTCACTTGACAGACACATCACTTTCTGACACTGATGGGACTCCTGTTAAGGGCACTCAAAGAGTGCCATAAACCTCCAGCATTAGCCTAATCTGTCCATTTTACCCTCAAAGAAGAATGGAAGACACTTCAGGGGAATACATCACAATAAATACCGACACAGCTCTGGGATGTCGGCGGAGTACAAATGTAGGTCAGCATGAAATAAAAGCGGGATCTGAATAAGAAATCATGGGCAGTTATGCACTGTTTTCATTCCAGCCTGCATCAAAGCCCTCAATGGGAATGAGGCCCCTGTTCAAAGCAGTACAAACATGCATTAAAACAAAATAAAATAAAATAAACCACTGCCCTGCAGGACTTGGACTGTAAATAAGAGGCTGAGGTTTGGGAAGCATCACGCAAAGGGAGCGTACGAGGCTTTCCAGCTACTCCGGGCATTCAAATTCGGTGTGCTCCACATAGTGCAGGGCTTTCATCTTCTTTAGTTGCTTATTTCACAACTTCCTCCTAATCAAATCCTTTGCTTATAAAGTATGGATTTCTGCAGAGCGTTGCTTGACTCGCCACTGCAGTATTTTTATTGTTTCTTTATGAAACAAGACGTGAAACTGTCTCAGAAAACATGGCTTTTGGTAGAAGTGAAATGCTGCTGTCAGACTCTCCTGGCACTGCTGGCTCAGTCCCAAATTGCTGGAGGAGAAGATACAAACAGTCCTCACGGCCTTATTACCACAGAAAACATGAAGACTGCTCTTTCCTGACATTAACAGCCCTTTCAGAGCAGTGACATTTGTCCTTTTATAACACAAAACTAAGCTAATCAGTGTTACTACAGTATTTCATTAAAATGCAATTTTGTTGCAAAGGAACAAACAACCACACAAGCTATGGAAATTAAGGCAGGACTCGCCCTAGAGAGAGGCCAGCACAAAGTTTTCAATCAGGTTTATTGCCATAAAAAAGAAGGCAAGCTCCCAAAATCCCTCCCATTTCATTCGTTTAAATAGAAGGTCCAAATTCTGCTCCTTCCACAGGGAAATTTCCCTGATTTCAGAAAAATTTTGACTGGATCAACCATGAAAAACAACCTCAAAACCAAAAACAACCACCAAAACCCCAGATGTTTTGTATCCAGGTGACGAGACCTAAACATGAGAGCTACATGGCATATTTAATGCTTGGCATTTTCACCTGGCACCAGTTATGGCACAACCAAAAGCTGCCAGAAAGTCAAAGAATATTTATCCTGAGTTGGAAGGGACCCACAAAGATCATCAAAGTGCAACTCCTGGCCCTGCACACGACAGCTCCAAAAATCTCTCACCGTGCCTGAGTGTGTTAATAATAAGATATTTTAAGACTGTGTGCACTCGTAAATAGAACAAATTCTCCTTTTTAGTAAAAAAACCCAAAACAACCCAGAATAAAAAAAATGTTTCTAGTCAACTACAGACATCTTATTTTGGACATTGCAAAATACCAAAATTTTGATGGCACTGCAAATGCTTGTAAAGCTTTAATGTCCCACAAGAACAGTGAGGCAGACACATACCTCAGCTAACTCAGCCTTCTTTAAACAGGGACCCACAAATGATCTGAACAGCAGCAAATCCCATGCATGTGCCTTGAACTGTTCACTGATGAGGATATCAAACTTTCATTAAACTGCTTTATACTGAATATGAAAGGATAGGAGGCATCTGAAGATTAGATCAGGTTGGGCATCAGGATTTACAGCTTTTTACAGCCTCAGGAAAGAAATGCAGAAACTCAGTAGCAGTAGTTGCTTAAGGAGCTACAGAAGTATCCAGGGAAAGGGGTTTCTTTGCTGTGAAGTATCTCTAAAACCCCAATAAGCTGAAAATAGGCCTTAACACTGCTGAGCTGCAAACAAAACGAAGCACTATTTCGAAAGGCTTAGAAACAAAATTTAGCTGGATCTAAAAAAGTAAATACAGAAGAAATAATAGTTCTGTTTTCTAGAGAAAAGCAAACAAAGGCAAACCCCTGGAAAATGCACACAGTGTGCACCCACTTACTCTGTTATGGGGAAATAACTCAGGAGAAAAGTACACTTTGCCAAAAGCATACAGGAATTGTAATTACCTAACACCAGAAAATTTGAAACACAGTTTATTTCAAGTTCCTGCTTGTGTTGAGAAGCCTTTGAAGTCAGAAAATCAATTAGTAGCACTTTTAAAAAAGTTCTGTAAAAACACTTTTGTCATTTACTCTGAGAGAAAATTTCATATATAAAGTTTCTTTTCAATTTTTCTGTGTCAGGCTTCAAAAGGAAAAACACTGAAGAAGAATGTTTTCCACACCAAAAATTCACTTGTTTTTGTCTGGGCCATTAAGTCTCTACTGGAAAGCCTGACCTCAATTTCCCTGGCACCAGAAGGACCCAAATGTAGGTGTCCCATATCCTTATTGTTGGTCTGTAATGCACAGAGGGCTCTCCAGCTCTCACATCTGCCCTGTGAATATAATCTCAATTCATTAATCAACTGGGGAAGGCAGTGAGGGCAGGAGAAGAAACAACCCTGCCTAGGCAGGAATTCCTGGCCAGCAACAGGGGTATTTGAGAGAAAGGGCTTGGAGGACTTCCTGGCGCTCAGGTGGATGAAACAAGGGACAAGAGGTCACTGCTATTAGAAAGCAGCTGATGAGACAAGCAACAATAATTTAAAATACTACCAAAATAATGATAAAAAAATAATAAATGCAACCCCAAACTCTCAAATTCACCTCGAGAGTATAACCCACATTTCCTACAATTCATTTAGAGGGGAATGGAAGGGCTCACTGGTGACACTTTCTGGGGTTCAGGGATAGTTTCCATACATGCTCTGTTACTCCTCTTCCCCTCCAGACTTGCCCTCAGATTGACTCCCCTCCCCTGCTCTGCTGCTGATGGACAGGAGCCATGCAGCAGGTTTTACCCCACCAGGAGCTGGCACAAACCCAGGATGAGTTTAGCTATAGTTCCCTTTCATCATATTTATTAAACCAGCACTGAAGTCGGCCTAATTAAAAACTCTCCTCTTGGCTTTCCAGCAGTGGGGTCCAGCTGCTGCGCTAACGATACCGTGCAGCACAACTGCAGCCATCTGCATAAGTAATTATTGTCAGCTATAGATGAAATGATCCTTTAAACACTCACTGTGCTTCCCCCTTCCACCCAAACACACGCTCTGTCACCAACCTCGCGTCCAAGACAAAGCCGTGGGGCTGGTGAAGCAGAAACCCAGCGGGGCAGCGCTGCCTCTCCCTGAGCGTGTGCCAGGCTCTCCAGCTGCCCCTATTCCTTCCTCCTCCTCTGCTGAAACCTATTTATTTAGCTGTGTGGTACCATCAAGGAACTTCTGCTTCAACTCTGCCCGTAGCACCCAAAGAAGGGACTCATTCCCTCTGTGTGCAGCCACAAGCGTAACTTATGAGGTAAATAAACCGACGAGACACTCAAGTGGTTTATAAAGTACAAAATGTTCAGCTTTTCTCATTTCTGAACACCTAAGCTATACTCTTAGTATTGTTCATTCCTTCTAAAGACTTCCAACACAAATGGATGCTTTGTGTTGCCCTCCTACATTTGAATGTTTTCTGCATTACGCATCTTTTTTTTCCCCCTCCAATAAATTACCCTGTTGTATAACTGCGTTTTGCATAATTTTGGAACGCCGAACACAGCTCTGTTACTTTGTGGTAACTTGCCTCTCGTGGTCAATCTGATTTGCAAATGAAATGGTTTCACCTCTGCCATCCAATGGCCTTCAATGCAGTCCACACTGGCTATGAATAGATAAATTCAGTTTCCCATTTACTTCAGAAATATCTGAGAGAAAGGAGGAAGGGGGGGCTGGGATGTAAGGAGTCAAGAATCACACGTGCCAGGGAAGCACATGTGTAATCAAGGGCTTGAAGATAATCTACTGCAGTAATTAAAAACACACTCCAATCCTGCTCAGCATATGCGTTCTTTTGTTCTCTCAGCACTTATTTTGTAATCGTTACATTACCAAAGATTAGAAAAAGAAAAGAAGATGGAGAAAGACTAACCTTTGCTACAATGAAGAGGGAACTGTAACAACAGAAAGGGAAAAGTGTCAGGATGCCTCAGTATTTAATTTTTATTTTGTGGAATCAGTTTGTTGAACATCTTTCGAGCTGCTTATAAAACTCCATCATAAATCATGATCTTAAAGAGCATTCCTTAATTAATAACTCCCAGAAATGTTCTAAGTCGTTCAAGACATTTGCAAGACTTATTTGACACTTTCCTGAAGGTTTAAGTCAGAGCTGGACAGCCTTTGTAATACACACACCAGCCTTGGACATTGCTCTGCCCACTGCTAAACATTCCCTTTCCAGAGTGGAAAGGGAAGCTTTAAAACACTGCCTGGCAACGTGAGACAACTGTAGAAGCCCAGAAGATAAGGGGGCTAATGTGCACCAAGGATTGTTGGCAATAACAACCAAAGATTGTTGGTAATAACACACTGTGAGAAAGAACAGGATGTGGCTGGAGAAAGAGCCATAGGGAGTTAGGGCAGCAGCTTTCTGGGACAAACGTCCTTGTTATCTCCTGGAGATAAACACAGCACAGCACGATGAATTCAATAAAGTCACAGGAATGAATTCAAGCAGTGGGTATGAACTGTAGAGGGGCATCAAGACCATGAGAGACCACTGAAGTCCTCTGACTCATTTCCAGAAAAGTCCAGAAGAACAGACTGTGCATGGTAACTAATTTGCATAGAAGGCAAGAAACTCATCTCCAGGGCAGGGAAAACTTATCCAGGCAAAGGTCCCCCCACAAAGCCTGGGTGCAATCCTGGACACCCCATCAGCTGGATCAACGCTGGAACCAGGATTGGGGATCTCTCACTTTCTTACTTTCTTCCTCTGTCTCCCCCTCTTTAACTCTTCTCTCCTTCTTCTCTTTCAACCTATCCCTTTATCCTAAACCCACTGCCACATTCTTATCCTGGGAGGTCAGGGACTAACGCACCAATTTCCATGCCAAGTGTGTAATCTGCCAATAAAAAACCCTGTGAGCTGTTGCAGACTCTCTTCCTTTCGACCAGGAGCATTTACAAACCTCAGGTGCTCCTTTCCTCTTAAGGGTGGGATGCCACGACACCTTTCCAAATGCAATACAAGTGAGCTTTAGTCTGCTGGGAGTAACATTACCTTTATGCAATTTAGCCAGGTGATCAGGATGACTTGACTTTCAGATGGGAAAAAAGATGGCATAATGGGGAATTCAGTCTTAGGCTGTTGAGCTGTCATCTGACAGCCCAAACAAAGCTATTTTGGGCTAATAGCATGCTTTCTACTCACTCATATTCCATTACTCAGGTTGGAGAACAAAGAACACTTTTTTGGGGAAAGCAATTATTTGGTTTTTAAAGACGAGTCTCCCTTTTTAGAGGTTAATTTCCCAGTATGTACCAATTTTATGAGTGTATACTATACATACAGTCATACATCCTCCCATGTTCATCCCAGAACTCTAATATCAATATTTCTATTGTTCTAATGGGCTTTTTGATCACCTCCTGTTTCAGGTAACAACACATTTGAAAATGACATTTTTTTGATTGTCACAGTGAACAGTGCTCACCCAGGTACTACATCTGCATCTCATACCTCCTTTTTCTACTCATCTGATTCTGTAAAGATCCCACAGAAAGAAGCTTGATTCAAAAGGAAAAAAAAAAAAGATTTTTCTAGAAAACTCCTCTTTTCTTTAACATTTGTCAAATGTTATGGACAGATTCTCCAAAACTTTATTCCAGGGGCAACCTCCCAGCATGGAAATTGCCCAGCACACACTAAATAAACATTCCAGAAGACAATTTAACAGCATCAATTCCTTGCTTGTGCTTAGAAGAACACCTCCCTGCAGCTTCACCTCCCTCAGTAACCCGTCCCACTCATTACATCCTTGTTACCTGTGTCTTCTAAGGGCAGCTGGGGTTTTATTTCTTGCTCTGCTGTGTCTGCAACAACCACAGCTGCTGCTGCTTCAGGGGCTGGCTGTGGAGGTGAAGGTGGTGCCTTGACAGGTGTAGTGGACTCCGGGGTCTCAAATGCTTCTTCAGAGTCAGAGCTCCTGGGGAAAATCAAATGAGAGACTGGTGAGCACAGTGAAGATCCCTGTTTGCATGTCAGGCTTGGGAATGCTGGGCTTCCTGAGCTGATGGCACAGACCCCAGCTCTCAGGCTGCCTCTGCATTTCCCAGAGGAGGTTTTGCTGCATGGTTTACAGAGCAGAGTATCATGGCTATGGTCTACTCCCTATACAAGTATTTATGTCACTCGTGTTACAGAAGTGTAAAGGATCTTCTCAAAAGAATTTCACAGCTTCAAAAAAACAAAAAAACAAAACAAAACAAAAAAAACAAAAAACAAAACAAAAACAAAAAAACCAACCAAACAAACAAAAAAACCCAACAAAACTGAAAAAATCCCCATCTAAAAACAGCACCAAATTTCTGTGTATGCTCTCGAGGGTGAGAGAGCACACATGGAGACACCTGAGGTGCAGAAAACCCTTGTGCATCCTGTGTTTCCCACAGAATTTCACCGTAGCCCTTTTCAAACGGGCCTTGTTACACAGGGTAAGACAGCCTGTAAAATGCACGGAGTCCTCATATTATCAATGGTCTTTTTGTAGCACCACGTGCTCCCAGGGACACAAAAACCCAGGGATCACAACGGGTTGGTGCCAGCACAGCAAGGGAAACAGCAGCACCCAAAATGGAGCCATTCAAATGAAACACAAGCTTGAAAGGCAGCAAGTGTACAAAACTATGAGTAACCTAAACACTGAGTGAAGATCTAAACCATTCAAGGACACACCTGTTACAGGTGTACAGCCACAGGAAACTGTCCTTCTAAGTCTGGAAACTATAAGTCTTACTTGTTCTTAAATCAAACTGGGCCCAAAGTTTAAACATTTCTTTTTGAGGCATTTTTTTTTGGAGCCAGGAATGCAGTAACAACGGTGTCATAGTCAATAGGCACTGAACATAATGTTCAATAAGCATTTCTGTTGGGCAGATGCAGTTTTGGACTGCTGGTCTATGATGAAGTGAATTGAACACGGCAATTTCCTGAAGGACAGGACTGATTTGCCTCTTCCCAGTGATTCTGTGTGAGCCTGTAGTCTCAACTGCTCCTCATGGCTGTTCACACCCCACACATCACTGCAAGGGGACAAAATCTGCCATGAAATGAAGAGCCATTTCATCTCCCAAAAGCACCTCTACAAGCCATCCAAAATCAAGGACTCCTCTCATTTTGCTGAGTTAAAAGATAACCTCTGAGCTGCCAGATTCTGTCTGGTTTCTTGAGACTTGTGATTATTTTAAGCGGCTCGATGTCAGGAGGGGTACAAGCACAGGATTTGCATTCCATTACATTTGCCTAAATCTATCACAGCATGAAGCCTTCGGAGAGTCGGGGAAGAAAAGACCCCCAGTGTCACCCCTGACAGCTTGAGGGGCACAGCAGACCTGATTCTCCCCAGCTGCCTCAGCAGAATTCCAATGAGAGCTCCCACCTCCTCCCAGGGACATGTCATGGCCTGACACCGACTCTGTCTCATCACCTCTACTCCTGTGCAAAGCAAAAGGATTTCTGCTAGGTGATAACTCCAGGTGCTTGCCTTACTTGGGGGTGTTTAGAGTTTGGGTTTTTTTCTCTTCACAAAGTTATGTCACTGCCTGGGGAACTGCTCAAAAAAGTGTGTCTGGCTTTCGATTATATCTGTTGCTGCAGATATAATCCTGCTCCAAAATACCTTCTTTGTGTCACCTCTTAAACCATACTGATTCATCAGGTCCCAGAACAGTCACATTGAAACACATGGGCTGCATCACTTTAAATCATATCCCTACAAAGATGCACCGTTTTTTAAGTACAGAGTATTTTAAGCTTAAGAACAGCTGCAAACAAAGAGCTTCTGTAAACAAAGCTGCACAATAGGTATTCAATAAACAAACGCTTTCTCCTCCTTCCACGGAGCTGGTTCAGGAAACTTTAAAGTTGAAGAATCAAAGATAAACAGAGTCGTGCGATATTTTCCCAGTGTCATAAAAATAAACCTAGGAAGTTATCATCTAAACCAACAAAATGAAAGGTAATTCATCTCTCTAGGGCTTTCACATAGTTCTTCATTGTGCTGCACTTAATTAATGTTTCACTCTCCTCATTTCAAACTCAAAGTCTTGCTTTGTAACACTGAAACAATAACATTTAGACTCCTTTTATCCAAACCGTCTGTATAGTACATGTAACATATAGGGTAAATATATATATATATATAAACTGCAATGGACAAAACCCCCTCAATTTTCATACTTTACTCATATTAATAACTGCTTTGTTACACTGGCTTGATGGAGCAGTTCTGTGTCCTTCTTCAGTTACTGCAGAAGAATTGGTGCCTGTGTATCTGCCTTTTAAATGAGCTCCCTTTGTTTACTTGGTCTCTTCCTCGGATGAGGTGGGCATAAGCACTTGAACTAAAGAGAAATATCTGTTCTTTTTTGTTCACTGCAAGAGTTTTCACTCTAGAGAACCTGCCCTCCCACACAAAGCTCTGGTTTGCTAATATTTGATAATTCCCAAAAGATTCTGATGCAATACTCCTAATTTTCAGCTATTACAATCAATTGAGAACTGTATTAACCATAACTCAAATGCTGCTGAGTTTGTTATGGGAAGCAATTGTGCTCTCCAAAAAAAAAAAAAAAAAAAAAAGTATTTAACAAAGAAACACAAAGGGAAGCTGAAGCTCAACACCAGGAAAACCTTCTTTGTCATAGCATGGAATCTGGGTGAGGGCATAAAACCTGGATGCACATAACAGCACTATGCTCCAAAGTCTGTATTACCTGCATCCTGGAAAAACTAGATCTTGGGTTCAGTTTTCCTTAGTGATGGATGACCTCTCTTACACAGGCTAATTTTTTTTAGGACTACAGTCCCGTGTTAAAACTGTAAGAAAAGACTTTCCCAGAACAACAGGATTTCCTGTGAAAAGGAAATTACACATTTCAGCCAGTTCAGTTCTTAATGTCTTTTCCCTGAGAAATCCAGGGAATACAGGGAACAAAGAGAAATAATGCTGCTGCAAAGCTCTTGGTGTAAAACAGATTGCCAAACCGTGATACCCCGTGAGAGCCGGCACCAATTCAAAGCTGCACAAGGAGCAGCCACCACGGGTCCAGCTGTGGGCAGGCTCTCACGAAAAAGAGTCTTGTACCATCCAGAATATTATTCTGAAGCTGCAGCCAAGGATGAAGCAGGATGAGATGGGATGCATGGGTTTCAGAGGTGAAGAACTCATTTGCTGGCCTCGGTTCGTAACGTGGTGGAGATGGGATGTGCAAGTGCAGAGTCTGAGCCTGCAGGACTAGTTTGAGGGGCAGTGATGAAGAGCTTCAGGAAGGAATACACATTCCTACATCTCTGTAGCCAGCCTGGGAAACTAGTGGGAGATTGCTTTTATAACATGTCATATCTCTCCAGCTGTATCCTTTGGCTTTTGTATATAACAGGCAAAAAAGATACAGATTGTAGCAGCTACAAAATATTCCTTCAGTCCACCTCTTTCATCTCCCTTCTCCAGGACAGCCAGTAAACAGTAAACATAACACATACAGATGGGGTCCAGCAGCAGGGGAGAACAGAGAAAGGCAAGGATCATACTAGACCAACACAAATCTGGCAACACTGCATCAACCTGTGGAGCCTGAGCTCTCCCACTCTCATCTGGGAAGTCTGAGACTCTTGCCCAGCCTGTTACATAAATCTCTGGAGGAAAAACTGAGGGGAGTCACTAGGGTTGACTTCTCTTCTTCACCTCTGGCTGTGTGGAAATCCAGCCTCATAAGTTACATTACCTTTTTTTTTTTTTTTTGTAATTCACAGGTGCTTATAATTTTAATTCCTCCCTGATTTCAGAATGAAAAATTGCCTTTTTGTCACTGCAGCGGCAAAGCACTCGGAAGCAGGAACAAGATTTCTTATTCCACTGCCTCTCCTCACCATTTGCCCTCATCAGGCACGACAGCCTCTGAAGGGAGGTCATCCCAATTGCCACCCAGAAACCCAATTCATTAAAAAGTAGTTTGCAACAGAGCTGTGGCCTTGGGCTGTGTTGGGAACCCTGCCATGTGCCTCAGGTTCCTCTAATATTGACACTACAGCAGTATAACCAACACAAGTGTGCTCCCTGGTTTTATTTCACAGCAAAGAAAGAGGGGTCTGATATAAAAAGAAAACTTCAAAGCAGGGCTTTGACATGAGGGCTGAGGTCAGGAGCATCGCTTCCTATGGAGTGGCACAAGCCAGCATAACTGGAACTGGGATGTGCCAAGGGAGGTCCATGGGCTTTTGTGGAGCTCTCTAAAGTCAAACCTATATAGAAATTTATTAAGTGTATAGCCTGCTTCAGAAAAACAAACAAACAAACAAACACGCCTAACTGCTTTATGGAGCACTGATCTATTGGTGTGCAATATGGACAGTCTGGACAGGAATGAGGGGGTGATATTATGAATTCTTGAAGCCAGGAGCTGGAGTTGCATTATCAAGAAGTGCTGCCTGTGCTGGGAGTAGGGAAAGGGGGATGGATCAAAGGAGATGCCTTCCCTCAGCCATGGTTGTGGAATCACAAGCAACAACACGAAGATGGGCTATAGGGGGATCTACTCCATCAGAAATATGGTGAACAGCTCTGTATTTAAACTCATATATTTTCTTTTAAACTTTGCACTTAGAAAAAAGTATGATAAATTTGCCCTATTAGTGGAACGTGCCCCAGATTAATTGAGGTCGCTCATACCTGTCAGCAATATTAGTGATGCCCAGCCAACACTCCATAAACTCATCCTTCTCATGGATACCCAATAAAATCTATCAACCAGTTGCTTTGTCTCTATGTACCTTTGTTTTATTGACATGACAACTTCATTCTCATGGCGTATTTGGAAATCCAAGACATTGGGAGGAAAAAAGCCGGGTCATTTTATAACACACAGAAAACAACAACAACAAAACCAAACTGTGCTCCATTGTCACCCAAGAGAGCTTGGAGGGTAA